TAAATCTCCAGTATAGAAGAATTACTAGTTTCTCAAGCTACTATTCTTTGTCCAAGTTTGGTTCTTTCAGCTCCTGGCAAGTGCATCAAAGGTAGGGAAGCTGGCAGACTTCATTTTGATGGAGGTTCATTTTTATCACTGTATTACTAGCATCTAGCAAGGCATCTGAAATATAGTAAATTCTGACTGAATTCTTGTCAAAAGAATGAATGGACTAATATTACGTATTTTGAGCACTGTAATATAGTATACTAAGGGCTTCCATTAAGATTTCTGCTTTTGGTTATGCTAGAATAACTGATCATGGACTGACTTACTGAGATCAACTAGAAAGGATTGAAAAATTATGCTTAAAGCTTCATATTTTCAGAGCTATCAGAGAGTAAACAAGACAGTAAGGACTTGAGAAGACAGATAGATAAGAGAAAGAAGAGAGATTAACCAAAAAGTTGGTTTCCTCTTGGGCAGGGTTTGGGCTAATGAAGCAAGGGTGAGGGACAGAGGCATTTATGATGGCCTAAACAATAGGGAAGACAGGAAAGGAAGGACACATTGACTGTCTACCTGCTATATTCCACTCAGTGTAACTGGACCCAAGATTTCAGGAGAAGGAGATGGTTTGGGATTAAGGTAATGTGTAAATTTATAGTCGTGTTAACTTGGAGGTGCCCAATACAGGCAGTCTTTGCTATGCATTGTAACACAGACTATAAAGATGACTGGGCAAGCTGACATGCAAAGCAATCTTGTGATCCATGCAAAGAAACTACAATTGTTCTGAAACCTTTAAACATTTTTGTCAAAACATTAAAAACTCTTCACTGTCACCTATAAATATATACAAAAATGACAAGTAGTAAAACTAGTATTTAGTAGTGTGATTTTAAACAATTGAAGTACTGAAAATTAATTTGTTTTATCCTTTGTGAAAAAACAAAACTAAAAACCCCTGTATGCTGCTTATATTTATTCTTAAATACAAAAATATAGAAAAGCTGACCATAAGAAAATGAAAATAATATCTAGTTGGTTCTCCCTAACCAAAGCTTATACAATTATGGATTCAACCAACCATGGGTTGAAAATATTCAGAATAATTATGTCTGTACTGAACATGTATAAACTTTTTGGTCATTATTTTCTAATCAATAGAGTTCAATAACTATTTATATAGCATTCACATTGTTTTAGGTATGATAAGTAAACTACAGATCACTGATTTAAAGTATATAGGAAAGTTTGTGCAGATTATATCAAACACTGCAATTTTATATAAAGGACTTGATCATCTACAGATTTTGGTGTCTATGAGGGGTCCTGGAACCAATCCCCACAGGTATTGAGGAATGGTCATATCATGGATATAAACTAAGAGAATATAGAGTAATCACACTGATATTATACAAAGTTGACTTTAAAGTAAGGGCCACTTTAGGAGATAAAGAAATACATTTGATAAATAAGAAAAAGTTCAGGAAGATAAACGGACTATGAATATACCCTAAATGCACTAGTAAGATATACTAGTTATGAGTTTATATGGGTGTAAGAACATAGTTTCGAAATAGAAAATATGAATATGATGGAAATAAAAGGGTAAGCAGATTTGTCCACAATCTCAGTGGGAAGTTAAATACCTGTTTCTACAGAAGTACACAAAAAAAATCAGTAAGTATGTAGAAACTTTAAACAACATGATTTACAAACTTGTCCTAGTCAGTGCATTGATGCTCAACATCTGCAGAACACATTTTAAAAGTTTTCATTGATTATATTTTGGGAAAGAGATCAAATCCCAACAAATTTCAAAGGAACAAAATCACATACACACACACACACACACACACACACACATATTTTTTTTGTGGCACTGGGGTTTGAACTCAGCGTCTTGTGCTTGGTAGGCAGTGCTCTTACTACTTGAGCCACTCTGCCATCCCAGCAATAACAAGGTCACCAAAAGGTGATCTCAAGATTATTATAATTATTATTAATTTCATATTTTTGACAATAATAAAATTAATTTAGATTAAATTTCAAAGGAATAAAGCCATATAAAGTATTTTTCTGACAACAGTGAAAGTAAGCTAGACCCCAAGAAGGGAAAGATAATTTAAAAAATCTCTAAATTAGAATACTTCCAAAAACTCCCTTGATATAGTAGAAATTAAGAAATTTTATGAAGTGAAGATAATTAAATGTGACATATAAAAGCTTGCATAATGTAACTAATGGTATAGTTCAAGATAAAAGTTTTTCCCTCTAAGATATCAAAATCCATTGCTGCTCAGGTCCCTTATATAAAACAGAAAAATATTTGCATATTACCAATGTAATCCTTCTGCATACTTCAAATCATATGTGGATTACATATATCACCTAATACAATATCAATGCTATGTAATAGTTGTTATATACTCTATTGTCTATATAATGATAAGAAAGTGTTCATCTTCACTATAGATGAAATTTTTAAAAATAGTTTTGATCCATAGTCAATTGAATTCACCAATGTGGAACCCTTGGATAGAGAGGGCTGACTATAATCAGTATTTTACCTTCTAGGGTTATTGTGAGGGTTAAATGAGTTGGTGGGTGTGAAAAGCTTAGGTGCTGAGCTCAATAAATGTTATCTGTTATTTTAGACTAAAGTCAAACTTTTTGCCAGGACTGATTTTGGTCTCAAACTATTCCTCCAATCTCATCTCTCAGCAACCCCAACCATAGCACTCTGGTCCCTCCAGGTTGAACTACTTGTTCCCCTAGCACAGCTTACCTCTATGACCACTACTGCTGTTACCTGCTGCATAGTAACTTCTCTGAGCCTCTGCTGAACTGAGATAATAATGTCTATCCAAAAGGGTTGATATGACTAGTGAATTTCAGAGTGTACGGCTGTCTAGGCAGGAGCCTACGCTAGACTGTTTCTGGTGAAGGGAATTTTCTTGTTAGTTTAGCTACTTGTGATGAATGCAAGTTGAATTAAACAACTTTACATCCTTCTTTTCATTTGGAAAATGCAGACAATAACACCCCACTCCACTGTGCTGCAGTGAGATTTTAGGGATTGTCTTTCTCAAGTAATGGATGTGGATGGGAATAAATCATGGGTAAGCAAAGACTGACACTGTCCAGGCCTGGAGACTATAGCTGCCAACTTTACAGGAACCAAGTGTTCCTTCTGTCTTTCTTTTTCTATGCTTATTTTACCCCTCAGAAATTCATGTAAGAAGGGTAGAATGGCGTGGTAGAAAGGGTCCAGATCAGGAACTGAGGACCTTGACTCCAGTTCTTTCCCTGGTTGCTTGTATGCTCTAGACAAATCTGTATGCTCTGCCTGGGTGTCTGTTTCTTTATTTTTCAAAGTGAGTTAATGTTTGGAGTTAATCTGATCCAGGAATATTGTCCTGAGCCAGCCTAGATGTGGCCTCACTTTTTCATCTGTAAGGCTCAGGGGCTCCCCCTTCCTATTACCCCTTCTTGGTACATAGTTCTTGCATCTCTTTACCAGTGTTTTGTAGGTTTCTGTCCTTTACAACCAAGAGTTCTGGCCACGTCCTCAGAGTCTGCATCTTTGCTGGTCTAAAGCTCCCGGGAAGTGTCCTGGATAGTAGATTCCAACTACATCTGCTCCATGTGGTTGTGTCACTGTCTGATCACTTCACTTTGGCATTTCCTCTGGGTGAGGACTCTACTTGGTATAAAAGACATCCTTCCTTCCATAATAACTCAGGAGGTGGGGCATTTCTTTTAAAAGAAGCTTCTGTAGATGCTTGTCCAAGAGGTGGACTCCACCTGACCCAAGGGGAGAGAGCATCTGGGGTTGTCTTTGGAGCAAGTTCTGATGGTGATGGGTCAAGCATCTGGATGTGATGGGCAGAGACAGGCCATCACTACTCAGATGGCTTGTCCATCTTGAAATAGCTCGGCCTGGAAATGACCTAAATTTGGGGGACTGAGGCTGTCTCAGAATTTGACAGGTGGTGTTTTGGTAGTACTGCGACATGGTTTTTATTTTGCATGGTTGAGGGACATTCTTTTTCATTCCAAGAAAAATGGGTATGCCACTAGGGCTCCAAAATAGGAGTTTAGTTTTAGGTTTTTTTTTTTTTGTCCCATTTTCCTTCCCAGGCACACTATAGTTATTACATAGCATTATCTCCTAGATACTGATGTTTCTTACGTCAAAAGGAACCAACTCAAAAATATATTCTCTTTACTGAGAAATAACACAAGTTACAGACAAGATTCTTGTTCAGATCATTCTGAGTGAGGTTAGCCTGGCTCAAAAGATCAAAAATCGTATGTTCTCCCTCATATGTGGACATTAGATCAAGTGCAAACACAACAATGGGATTAGACTATAAGCACATGAGAAAAGTGAGAGCACACAAGGGAGGGGTGAGGATAGGTAAGACACCTAAAAAACTAGCTAGCATTTGTTGCCCTTAATGCAGAGAAACTAAAGCAGATACCTTAAAGCAACTGAGGCCAATAGGAAAAGGGGAACAGGTACTAGAGAAAAGGTTAGATCAAAAAGAATTAACCTAGAAGGTAACACCCACGCACAGGAAATCAATGTGAGTCAATGCCCTGTATAGCTATCCTTATCTCAACCAGCAAAAACCCTTGTCCCTTCCTATTATTGCTTATACTCTCTACAACAAAATTAGAAATAAGGGCAAAATAGTTTCTGCTGGGTATTGGGGGGGAGAGGGATGGGGCGGAGTGGGTGGTAAGGGAGGGGGTGGGGGCAGAGGGGAGAAATGAACCAAGACTTGTATGCACATATGAATAATAAAAGAAAAAGGAAAAAAAAAGATTCTTGTTCAGGTCTTTCTCATGAAGCCCACAGCACTGCTTACCTGTTTGTGTTTATCACGCATGGAAGCTGTGTCTTTGTCTAAGAGTTTGGCATTTGCTATTTTAAGGATGGGAATCCCTGGATCATCCCTAAGCCTTCTAGGTGATCTCAGTGTAGGTGGTGTAGGTGAACTGACCTGGAAGATGTTGGCGAAATCTCTGAGATTGAAGACATAGTGGAATTTGGCCGCTGTGGGCAGGAATGTGGCAGCAATTTCCTGATGGAAAGTGAGGGCCAGATTGATGAGCTGGGGGACAGATTTCTGCAGGGAGGCTGGGAAGTTTCCGAGCTTCAGATGCTGGGTTAGAATGGTGCCGTAGATGGAGGATAGGGCATCGGCTCCCGGGAAGGACAGGACAAACACGCTGAAATGACGCTGAACAAGAAAACAAAGGCGTGTGGGGACCATAGCTGTACATCCTTTACCATGGAATAAAGACCCTCTCTTCTGGATTTGGATGCAATAATGAAGAATTCTTCAAAGGGCCTTGAGTTCTATATCCTCTATTTCTCATGCTACACCCAAACTTAGGTTGAACCTAAAATGATTGGAATAATGGCTTTGGATCTTTGGTCAAAGATGACTACATGGGGTAATGGGCAAAGAATGAAATTCAAATCTTAATTTGGTACTGGGTCCATATGCCCTTGGTGGCTTTTTTTTTTTTTTTTGATGGCACTGGGGTTTGAACTGAGGGCCTCACACTTGCCAAGACATATGTTCTTGGGAAAGTAATTTCATTCCTCTGAAGTCCCCTTATCTGAAGAATGATGGAGTTGAATCAGATGAACTCAGGACCCCTTCAAGCTCTAAAAGTTTTTTGACAATGTCTAGGAGTTTCTTTTTCCCCCTAGAAATGCAAGTTGGCATCTTATCTGGTTTACCACTTTGATAAGGTGGCATGGGAAAGGCCAACTGTCATTTATAACCAAGTGACATCACCCCTCTTAGGGTGCACTCACATCTGGCTACTCCTATACCTGAAGCCGTGGGTTGATGGTGAAGCTGCCTGCAGTGGGGTTCATACAGGACACATACTGTACATTCATGATCTCCTTTAGGGACAGGTTGCTCCGATCATACCTGGAATAGTCAGAAATCTCCAGTGAGCTAGGCATGGTCCTGCACATCTGTAATTCCAGCACTCAGGATACTGAGGCAGGAGAATTTTGAGCCCAAGGCCAGCTGGACTACCTACCAAGTTTAAGACCAGCCTGGGCATAGTGAGACCCTGTTTTAAAACAAAACAAACTTCCAATGAGAGTTGTGAGGGCCAAGGCAAGTGAGTCCTTCTTCGAGGTAAGATAGGGTATGTATGCCCTGTCATTTCTGTGTTTGGGTAGCTAAAAAGAACAAACATGCTATATCCCCAAGAGAGATTGAGAAAAGACAAAAGCCTAAGACAAATTTCTGAGAAAGCCAATAGCTGTGGAAACAGCATGGGAAGAAGAAAGCACACAGATAGACTCCGAGGAAGGAGGAATATTGAGGGTATGTGGCAGCGCTGATGGCAAAGGAAGCCAGGATTTCCAAAAGGCAGGAGCAGTCTTCAAAGGCAAGCACTGCAGAGAGAAGAGAGTTGGCGCTCCACAGGGCTCCACGGGTTGTGCAATAGCAACATAGGCAGTACACCAGCAAGAGGAGCACAGTAAAGTGGGAAGAAAAGAAATCAAATAGAAGTGGATTAAGCAGTGAGTGGGGGAAAGGAAGTGGGGGCAGAAGAGAGAGTTTGATTATATAAGGAGAGAGATAGGACAGTAATTGGAAAATTATTTTTTTAAAACACAGTAGAGGAAATGTATGCAAGTTTCAATGACATGAAGTCCAACAGGAGGCAGGGACTGGCTGATGAAGTGAAGATCTCAGAAGTGGGAGACCGTGGAACCAAGATGCTGGTGGATGGTTAAGCCTCACAGGGAGGTGGAATAGGAGGGAAGAGGAACGGGTGCAAGGGGCAGCAAGTGAGTTATACTGATGTGGAAGCAGAGATGGAGTTGGCATGGGGTTCTCTGAGAACACAAAGCTATCAGTTGAGTGGAATAGGAAGTTTAAGAGAGAGGAGACGGTATGAAATTGACATTCAGAGAATGTTAGTATGATAGAATTTCCAAGAAGTTTCAACTTCCAATTTAAGAATCGTGACCATGAATCTAAAGCCAATCTAGCAAGGTTGACTTGGGTTATCCAGTATAGGTTAGTAGCCTGAATACTGGTGTGGAGAGTGAGGACAATCATATACAGAAGGCATTCCCTTAAGAAGGAATGAGAGGCAACTCAAGTTAGCATCTTTAATACGATTCTTCTCTCTCAATTCTCTCCTCCCATTCCCCACTCTTTCTCAGCAGCTGATTCAGTGAGGGGAAGGAACGTAAGTCGAAGTTGTCTCAAATCACTCACTTTTCCCCCCTGGACAATTCATACCTGTTGAAAGACTTTGTGTATTGCTCTGAAGACTGTAGCAGGTATTCGGACATTGTGTATCCTCAGAGCACCTGCTCAGGTGGACCACCGGGAGGGGGAGGAGCTAATTCTACTTTGGGGGTTGGGAAACCTTCTGGAGAATACGACTTTTGAGATGAATATTTTCTTTTTTAAATCTTGTTATTCTGTGATTTTATATTTAAAATTATTAACACACATTAACGGTGCACGTTGAGTTCTATGTGATATTTTCATATATGCGTATAACATGCATTGATAAGATACAAAGTCCCTTTTTCCATCCTCTGTTTCCCTCTTCCAGCACACAAGTCCTTCCCAAAGACTGCTAAATCATTGAGATGAGTCTTGAAGAAAAAACTAAGTTTCTTTAAACGAGAGTTATGTACCATCTCTAGGCTTACTTTCCACAAGGACCTTCAACCGGTATCTGAGCAAGCACCCCAGGAAATAGAGATCCCCTGGGGAGAGTAATTTACACTGGGAATTCTCACCTGGCACCAGAGCTAAGCTGAGCTCTGTGATTTCAGTAGTAGAGCAAGTGGCGCCTCCAGTCCTGCCTGAACCTTTGGCCTTGTGTGTGTGGTCTTTTTTTTTTTTTTTTTTTTTTTGAGGCTGTCTCACGATGTAGCCCAGACTGGCCTTGAACTGCTACCCTTCTGCTTCAGTTCCCAAGTTCTGGATGACAGGTGTGTGCCACTACCCAGCTATGCATGGGCTCTTACCAGTGGCCGTAGTCTAGGTGCTGCCTGAGGAGTGTGTGGGGCTGCACAGTCCCGTAGGTGTCCACCTCAGGCATGTTCATGTCATCGATGAAATAGATGAGTTTCTTGCTTCCTGGAGGGCCATAATTTCTGCCAGCCTTCTTTTCTAGAGGTTTCTCCAGGACAGCTGAAGAGAGATCCAGTTAGTGAGAGAAGGAGATTCAAACCTCAGAGGCAAATACTGAGACAGCAGCGGTGTGGAGGACAAGCCACAGTGTAGCTCACATGTTTGCACAAACGACAACAACCGCTGCTATTACAGTCAGCCAGCCATTCCACAGGATGACCAGGTAAAGTTGGAAATTACCAGGCAGTAATGGCAGCAGTGCCCACCAGGCACTGAACATCTTATTATATGCATTGTGCTAGGTTTTTGTTTAGGATTAGTAGCAGCCCATTTCACAGGCGAGGGAACTGAGGCTCAGAAGAACTAAGCAATGTCACTACGGAAGAGCCAGAATGCAGACTAGAGTAGTTAAACTTAAAAGCCCATGGTCCTATCATATCAGTTTTCTTTGTTTATAGACTAGAAATCGAAGATGCACTCATAGTCCCAAGGCTAGGTACACAAAAACTGGATCCCAGGTAGACCCATCTCTCTGCCTAAGACAGCAAAGGAACTGTGGTTCCTATCTACCTCCCCCATCCCACCCTTCCTCCCCACCACGGATGTAGGACAGGAATCATTGGATATTTTGTCAATAGTCTGCAGAGAGCTCATCTCATGGCGTTTTCCGTGATGGGGAGCAGAAGCCACTGCATCAGGGAATTTCTTAGATGCTTCCTGAGTCATGAACAGCTCCTTCCCCTGCCTTCAGTTCCCTGGCCCCCTTGCAGAGCACCCCAGTGCCTTTCTGGAGACTAAGCATTGAGATTCTCTTCTGGCTCTTCTGGACTCGTTTCTTCAATTATCAAGCTAAGGGGAAGGAATCAGAAAACACCGTTTCTAGCCTGATGGGACTTGTTTAGAATAAACTTAAGTGATAGGGTGGAGAGAGATTTTTTTTTCTTCTTCAGTAAAGCAATTAAATATTTATGGATTGCAAGAACCAACACTTTTTATTACAACTGGGAGCTCTAAGAGCCATCTGATTTCTTCTCTTGAAAAACAAGTTTGTAAACAAGGAGAGAGTGTCAATAGATTAGGAAGGTGACAGATAGAAAGACAAGTTCCTTCAAGAAGCTTGAATATTCTTATTTCCTGATCCCGAGTTAAATTAAGTGTTTCAAATATGAATTAAATTTAAATTTAATTAGCATTCAATTAACATACACTATCAACCAATTAATCACCCAACACCTTCTTCCCCCCTAAAGACATAACAACTATATACGAAAGCTGTCAAAATGAAATATAATTAATGGACTGCCAAGGACACGGTTTTGAGAACAGTACTGTTAATAAGGAAATTCTCTCCTCAGGACGACTTGTTCTCCTCCCAAGGCACTGACATTCAAATCAACCCTTGGAATTAAGCATACCCTGTAATTTGGGTTGATTAGGCTGTTTATGAATCTACAGGACTGTTGGGAGAAAATCTCCTCCACCAGCAGGAAGTGGCCTTGGCATGTGCTGGATTATCTCAAATGGAAGATGTGCCATTCTCCATAGAAAAAAGGAAAGGCAGACACAGCTGGATCCTTTGTTGACCATGTTCTGCTCCACATCACATCTAGGATGGAATGACACTGAGTGATTCTGCGTCCAGGCAGGACTGGAGGAGTAGGGTCAAGTTGAGCAAAGGTGTCGATGTTGAAGGTGCAAAACAAATGAGATGCATGTTTTAGAAATATGACCCTCTCACTGCACTTCTGACTGAGTTCTGATTGCCATAAACAGATCTGAGATTCCAGCCCATTTCCAGGCCCACAGTTCATTTGTACATTCTGACTGAATCTCTCCTTGAGATCCGTATGGAATGACAGAGTCCAGTCTGTGGCCACATACAGCAGTGTCCCCGCCCACCCCCATCTCCCCGCCCTATCATGTCAATCCCCAGACACCATTTGGCAGCCTTTGTCTTCATATATTTGAGGAGCAATTTAATTTTCAAAGTGGTTTCCCACTTACCTCATTTCACCATCTCCACAGCTACCATCCTTGCCCATTGGCTCTTTCCTGATAACTTTAGCATCCTCCCTACTTTCCCACTCGACCCCCTTCACTATATTCTCAAAACAGCAGATGGGTACCCTTGTGAAATGTAAACCAGACCATCTCCGTTTCCCTCACCCTAAGCAAAAGTCATTCTGGATATTTCCCCATTTAAACCTGCATTTCTGTTTTTCTCTCTATTGTTCCCCTGGTCATTCTCTACACTCTGCTTCTGACACACTCATCACTTGCTGCCCAGGGCCTTTTTACTCTGGCAGTTTCCTCTCCATGGTATCTTTTTCTTCCAAATGCCAGCAGCGTTTGCTTTCTCTGTTAGTTACGTGAATGCTATTTTTTTTTCCCCCAGCAAGGCCTTCCTGATACTCTATCTCCAACAAACTTCCCACTTCATCTCTCCTGATTCACTTTTCTTCAAAACACTCCTCATCACCTAACATCCTACATCTTTACTTATTTGTCTTGTTTATTATCTCATCCACCCCTCCATACTAGAATCTAAACTCCATTAGGATAGTGATCTTTCTGGGTTTTTTTCATTGTCATAACTGCAGGACCTAGCACATTATCTAGTACATAGTAGAGTGCTCAGGAATTTTATTCAATTAAAGAATGAATGCATGTATTTGATTATTATAGCAAGCCCCATGAGATAGGTAAAGAAACCTTATTATCCCTGTATTGCAATTAAGGACCTAGAGGCTGGAATCAGAATCTAGATCTTTACATAGTGATTCTAACGCTCTCACCTCACTTAGTGAGAGAGTCCTTGTGACCCTCACAGCTCAGCCTCTTTGGGGTGTTCCTGACCACTCAGGACCTTTTGGTCCCTGCCCTCTCTGAATTGAGATCAGCACCTTCATCATCCATGCAGCACTGTGAGGGACCTGGCTGTCGTGAGGACATGACTTGCACAAAATCATAACCCAGCACAGAGCCCTACCATATAGCATCATTACCTCTTTAAATTCTTTTAGCAGATGAGAAAAAAGGTTCAGAGAAATTAAGGGATTTTTATCTGAGGTCAAACAACTACTGAGCCGCAGAGCCAGGATTTTAACCCAGGTCTGTCTGACTGTGGAACCTCATGTAATCACCTCTTAAGCTTTGTTACAGCCTGGCTTCTTCCCTTCAGAAACTCTAGGTTTAGTTAACTCATTACAGAGATCATTAATAATCAAGTCTTACTTTGCATTGACATAATTGTGTACCCGTGTTGGAACTATTTTCTTTTTATTTATTATTTGTATTATGTTTTCAGTTACATTTGTAAAGGCTCTGGATTTACTCTTTTAAAAATAACATTCTTTGCATGACTATAAAAATAATACATATCCATTTTAGAAAGTCTAGAAAGCACAGAAAATCATAATGATGAAAGTGATAACTGGTCACAATTCTATTGCCTAGCAGTTGGCATTAGTTTTAATATTTTGGTATGTTTCATTTGAGTTATTTTTTTCTCTAGAATTCTTTTCTCTACAAAATCAGAATTGTATTAAATTCATTGCTTGTGTAGGTTTTAATTATCATTTAATATATTATAGACCTCTTTATTCAATTTTTTTGATACAGGGTCTTGCTCTGTAGTCCAGGCTGGCCTTGGATTCTCTTGCTTTAGCCTCCCAAGTGCTGGGATTACAGGCGTGCATCACCATGCCTGGCTCTATTTTATAACTCTTTATATGATAATAAATATCCCCTAAAGCATGATTTTAATTGAATTATGTTCCATAATTTGGATGCAACAAAATTTATCAAATGACTTCTTTATTGTCAGAAAGGTGTTTTCAATTTAATTATACTTTGAACCCTCTATGATTCAAAGCAGAAAGTCTTGCTTGCTAGATGATGAATTGTTGATGACTTAACATTGGTTTGTGTCATCTCCTTTTAGGTTGACATTAAATGAAAGAGAGTTGTCCATATGCAATACTGGAAGCACAATGTTCCTTTGAGGCTAGGAGTTTGATCTTTTTAAGGTTCTGTACAACCTTAAGTTTTAATGAACAGGTTACAGGAACTCATTTTACACACAGTCTCAGATGTCTGAGCTCCTTTTTAATTAATGTAATTAAGCACTCAAGTATTTGTTGAACTAATAATTCAAATTTCAGTTGGATGACAAGAGAATTCAGGGTTGCACTGAACATAATATTTAGTCCATTCCTTTACATGCAGACTATAAGACTATTCACGCTTTAGCCACGTTCTTTGTTCCTCCTCTTCTGTCTCTAACTGTCCTGTCTGTGAGTCTTTGCAAAGTCTATTTAAAAAAAATTATTTACATTTACAAAAAGAATGAGAAGACATTAAGATATCTGAAGATCCAGCAACAGACCAATTAAAATAAAAACTAAAGGGATTGCAAAAAAGTTTGGAATGAGGGGAAACTTATTTGCACCAGTAATCTAGGATGACATAATTATTGTATCCACATAAAAATTTTATCTCACATTTTCCTTTATGAACCATTTGCTTGAAACCAGTATTTAATTATAGCATTTAATTATAGTAACCATGTCATCCCAGATTACTGGGAGAAATTCACCTCTTCTTCTATCCGAATAACTTTTCTAGGCACTTAAATTCTATGAGGTATATATCATGGATACAAAAGATGTATCAGGCAACAAAATGAGATTTTACATAATATATAAAAATAACCTAAAATGATTTTTTATGATACTATCCCTCCATAAAACCCATGGGTGGAGTGTTAAGTTGTCACTCAATAAAGGGGACAAAAGCAATACAGCTGACTTTGTGGAGTTAAGAGGAGCTGGTAAATGGAGAGGGAACTAGGACCTCCAACTTTCAACTGGAGATGTCCCTGACACTCACCTGAGTTTGCACACCTATTGGAGAATTGTCCATTAAAGTCTCAACTTTTAGGTGACCATGGAAGTTCTTGTTGTATTTACCATCAAAGAAAGATATCTATGTGCTCCAGACAGCAGATGCACAAAAGCAAAGCTGGCATTCTATTATGAAAATTAGGATGCATGCTTTACAAGCCTTATCAAAGTAGAAGACTTGTATAATTTGATGAAACAAGACAACATTGCCAGTCAGTCACTGGGTGACTAAACACCTTAAGCCTCACTTGTTCGTTTTGTAAAACTGGGAACTAACATCAGATTTGTGATCAAAACCATTCTCAAGTTCATCCTCCTTAGTCATTTTCCAGCTGGGGTGGCATGTGACACAGTTCTGAACAGAAAAGCACAAGCATAAATCTATGAAATACCTGGAGAGTTGTCACTTCCTCACATGGGCACTACCCTTCCCTTTGCTTTCATTCACTAACTAACTAACTAACTAAATTAATAAATTATTGAGACAGTCTCACTATGTAGCCCAGACTGGCCTTAAACTCAGAATCCTCCTGTCTCAGGATCTCAAGTGCTGGGATTATAGGTATCCACCACACCCACCCCCTCACCCCAATTTGGAAGCAGTAGCCACTCTGCCACCTTGAGGGAACAGTCAAGGGAATAGCAAATATTTTAGCATTGATATCATTGAGCAATTGATCCAGAGTTTGACACTGCCTACTTTTAGACTTCCTGTTGTTCGAGAAAAAAAAATAATTTCTATGCCACTAGCATTAGATTTTGGCTTACTTGCAGCCAGAAGCATTATTGACACAGGGTTTCATAGAATGGAGAGGATTAGATGAACTAAATTGGGTACAGCCTTAGCACAAGGGTGGGTACATTGTAAACACTAAATGAAGTACTGCTACCCCATAGTGGTGATCTATGTGAATGCCTGAAGCACAACCCTCATTTGTATTTCAATGAGCTAGAAAAGTACTCAATGGAGACTTCAAAATTGGATGCAGTGAGAGAGGAGAGATGCAGGTATTATCAATCAGCTGCCTCCTCTGTAAAAGAACACCTGATGTTGAGAAAAATAGCATTTGCTGGGCAAGCAGGATGTAAGAGCTGCAAAATGTCCCCCAGGTGATCACCAGGAACTGAACTGCTGGGAGGAGTTCTCGCCTATTTGAAAGCTAGCACATTTCTTCCAGAAACATTTTTCTTTCAGCACAGTTTTTGTTAAGCTCCCTTTTTAAGCAAGAGGAGTTTGCTTGTGTGCTTTTTGTTTTGGCAGTTGGGACTTAGCGATTACTTCAATATAGATTTGCAAATTTGAGAAGCATTTTGTTAATGTCGTTATAATAATAGCTTCCATTTACTAAGCACTCATTGTATGCTTGGGATCCTTCTAAGTGTTTTACAAATTTTATCTTACTATTCAAAGATGAAAAGAATGAACTATTGATACCCTGAACAACATGGATAAATCTCAAAATCATGCTGAATGAAACAAGGCAGGCAAAGAAAGGGGACATGCATATTAGATGATTCCATCACACAAAATTGTAGGAAATACAAACTAATCTACTGTGACAGGAAGCAGATCAGTAGTTGCCCAGAACAGGGTGGGGTGAGGAACATTGGGAGGGAGGGGTCATGAAGAGAGCCCTGAGAAACTTTTGGAGGGGAACATGTTCATTATTTCAACTATGTGGATGGCTTCACGGGTGTGTACATATTTCAAAACATATCAAATTGTACACTTTTAACATATGTAGTTTTATTGCATGTCAGTTATAACTCAATAAAACTTTTTTTAAAAGGAAAAAATGTAAAGAAAATTACTGCCTTTCAATGGAACAACGGATAAAAGAGCTGTGATTTAGTCACAGCACATGGAAACCAATGTTCTCTGTTTAAAAAGCCACAGGAAAGAGGAAAGGATGGGGCTGACGAATAAGCTGTACTTACAATGCTAAGACCAAAGCAAAATGACAACATTTAACATCTGTTAAGTCTGGGTAGTGGTACACGGGCATCTGTCATATTATTTTCTGTACTTTCCTGCATGATTGAAATATTTCATAATTTAAAAAAGTTTAAGCAGTTACCCATTCCAGTCTCAGCATCTAGTTCCCCTTGCCAGACACAGCTGATACTACCAATTCCTCACATGTCTTCAAGCATTGTTGCGTGTGCATTATACATGTAAATTTTTCTTAGTTAAAAAAAATCACATAGGAATACATTTTATACATTTCTTTTTAAAGAGGACATAATTTGGACCCTACTACATATACTGCAGTAGAAATTGCTTTTCTTACTCAACAAAACTTGAGAAATAGTTCCAATTCAGTACAGGCAGACTTTCCTGCTTACTATTCCACCAAGTGAACAGTCAGTGTTTTTCCCATCTTTAGTCATTATGGATACATAATAAGCACACATTTGCACTTCTGTCTAGGTGTGCGACCTGTCCTAAAGCAGACTATGCCACACTGCATTCAATCTTAAATCCACCAGGTCTTAAGTGCCAACATCAGTTAAAGCATTGGGTGGCAAAAGAGTAAAGGGTTCAGGAAAAGGTGCCTCATCTGCATCTTTGCTGAATGACACCAGAGTGTTTCTGTGCATCCTTTTTCAGCATTCAGTATTCATTTCCCTCTTTGATACTGGGCTTCTGGCTCCTACTTTTCTAATTATCAATAGCACCCTGTTCCCTGCTTTTTGTTGTATTAGGCAAAGTAGGCCAAATAATCAAGATTATTTGGACTATGATGAGAGCAGGAGGAAGAAGTTTCCAGGTAAGGGTCATGGGCAGGAGCTTTGCTGCAGGCACTCATTACACATATGCTGGCTACTCTGGGATGTGGCTGCTCACCCGATGTCCAGTTGTTTCTGGATAGGTGAGGTCGTAGGACAGCTAGTTATCCACCCCCTACCAGGACAGGAAGTTGGCATCAAGGTTGATGCTATGGAAAAGCCATTAGGGAATTAACAAGGGACAGAAAGTGCTGTTTTGGTCAATGTCCAGTTGCAGTGACAGCCAGTGTTCTTTCTAGCTCTGTTTGACTATTTTGTGACTCTTTTTTTGGAAGTCTCCATGTTACAACAAAAGGAAAGGAAAAATTCCTCTAGGTGAGGGATCCAGAGAATACAGGATAGAGCAATGTGAGAAATTCATTCCCCCTTCCTATTTTATTCTCTATCTAAAGTTTTTTTAACATTATAAAACAATTTAAATAGGATTATAGAAAATCACACCTCTGAACTACCTGAGCAGTACTTCTAGTGATAACATAGTACTGCCAAATACTTCAGTTTGCAAAGAGTTTTCTTGCCAGAGTGGCAAGAGGGCCTGCTGGTTCCTAGCACTGACTCTGGAGTCAGGCTGTCTGGGTTCTCAGCTCCACTCATACTGTGGGCTGCAGGCAGCTTATTTAACTTCCTTGTGCCTCAGTTTTCTCATCTATGAAATGGAGATGATGCCAGACATCCTGCACACAGGTGCTCTTACCCTGCAGCATAGCTGACGTGGTATAGTAGTTGAAAGGCACGTTTTTCACCAGGTATTCCTCAGGGTCAAGGCTGGCCAGTTTTGCTCCCACCAGCACCGACTTGCCTGTGCCGGCGGTGCCCACCAGCATGACAGGTCGCCGCTGCTCCGTGAGCCGCTCCAGGAAGTAGCACACTGGGATGGTCTCACTCGTGTGCACCACGCAGGCCTGGAATGGGAACATGAGAGGTGCCAGGGGCTTGAGGGAGACACAGGTGCACTGTGCCCAACATTTGGCAGCATTTCAGAAGAGGGGATTCTGTCTCTGTGGAACTCACCCAGTGAGTGTAGATCTGGAGTGTCTTGCCTAACATCCACAGCAAACCCATCCTATGAACTCAGCCCAGGGCTCCTCGAGGCTCACTGAGAGCATCCCCACTTCCCTCTACCACCCTCAACTGTCTATCTGAGGCCTTGCCAATGTATTAAGGAATCACTGATCCCTGCTGCCTTTCCTCCTCTGTCTTTAGGATGCTGGTTTTGTCTGGTACTTGCTTCCTGTCCTTTAGAGGGGCCTGTGGCTTCATTACACCTATGATTTGAAAAAGCATGAAGCTGAGTCCTAACCAGCTTATGACCCTCAGTCTCAGCCAGATCAGTACCGAGAGCTTGCAGATCTTGCAGGCACTGCCTGGTCTTCGCTGTTGAGTCATACTCACCTGCAAAGGCATCTCAGGGTCAAATTCAAACTGGGGGATTAGCCTGGACCAAGGCTCGAATTTCTTGGTCTCTGGGTCTATGTAGTAGTCAAAAATTGTCCCTTGGGAAGGAAACTTGACTGTCTTGAACTCAGTCAGCCACCACTTGCTGAACTCTGCCCGGTAGTCCACAAGCTGCAAAAGTAAATCAGGTCAGGGAACAATATCCTGCAGAGCTAAAGAGCTCAGGCAAGAGGCCCTGGTGTGGACAGATGATCAGGGTGGGGACACGGTGCTCCAAGGACCAGCCCCGACACGGCCCAGCTGTCTTGGGCAGCTATGGTTTGGGTGGCTATGGTTTGGGTGTGTGTCCCAGAATTCATGTGATGGAAAATTAATCCCCAAAGACATACGTGGAAAGTATTTGGAGGTGGGGGCTTTTTTTAGAATTATATGAGGTCACATGGTAGAACCTCCATGGTCGCATCAGCAGCTTTGTGAGAAGATAGAGACACAAACTGACATGCTTGCTCTGTCTCACTATGGGATACTCTCCTCCGTGTTGTGATGCAGCATGAAGCCCTCACCAGACGCCAGCACTATGATCCCGCATGATCCTGATCTTAACCTCTAGAACTGTGAACTAAGTAAACTTTCATTCTTTATAAATTACCTAGACTGTGGCGTTCGGTAACAGCAATAGAAAATGGACTAAAAAGCACATATGAGCACCCTTGCTTGACCACATTGCTGAGCAACTCTGCTATTGGCATAGCATACAGTCATTGAGGGGCAGGGAATCAATCAAGGGGAGGATGGCCATAAGAACACAAAAGAGAGTGGCAAGTCCTAATCACAGGAAGGGCAAGTGTGGGCCAAAAACTCCTGAGGAGAGAGACTAGACCCACTCTCCTAGACAGCTGAGACTGAGCAATCTCCAGGATGATAGTCAGAGGTGACAACTGACACCTTGGGGCACAAGGTGAGAAGTGCTTCAGAGGGAAGTCAGGCATGTGACCACAGGACAATCACTTTTTTCTGTGCCCTAGTTTCCTCATCAACAAGATGAGGATTCTAGAAAAGATTTCTGATTCCTTCAAGAGGTCAAATTCTAAAAATCTAAGCTGAGGAGACAAAACTATACTTCCCTTTCCAACAAAGGGAATAAGTAGAGATATATGATTCACATGCTTTCATTGGCGTTCTCAAACTATCCTATGTTTTTCAACCTGAAGTACACACACAGGCACACACATAGGCATAGGCACGCGCGCACACACACACACACACACACACACAAAGTACTCACTGTTAACAGGCAGCCCTCTAGGAGTGCAAACCTTCCCTTTGAACACAAAGACATAAGAAAAATCCTAAAAAATATAAGAGACCTGGATTGGGCATTGTAGGAAATGTCCACAGAGGGCAAGGACAGCTCAGAGGCTGGTCAGGCAGGGAGCTAGTGCAGGCAAATCTGGGCCCTGAAGATGAGGCACTCCTCATTTTGCTGTCTATTCAATAAGTGTTATGAATCCTTTTGCTATAAAATGGGTATAGAGATAAGTCATAGATAGGGACAGCTTTATTTCTTGTTCTGATTCCAATTTTAATTCAAATGAAGTGGGTATTACAGCTTCCTAAGATTGTCCTCTCTAATCAGAAGTCTAGGGAAAGCCCTATTTTTAACTTATGGATAAAACTCTTGGATACTTCTAGCTTTCTCTGAAAAAACCAGATTTTAGGTGATGCCACCTTCTTAAAGAATGAAATTGGAGATCCTTGTCTTTCCTCACTTGGAATCCCTCTTGAGCTACCTGGTGAGTTTCTCAACCAAGCTATTAGCTGGGTCATGCTATCATTGTCATTTGCCCTCTAACCTGGCCCTTGATCTCGGCTTCTACTAAAATAGGAATCTGTTAAGACTAGGTGATCCCTGCTGAGCCGACCCAATGGTCCTTTCTCCATTCAGTTCTATGGACCTCTTCTCAGCAATGGACCTTAGAGAGTAACCTCCCTACCTTGCTGACTCCCATCTTCTTCAGATTCAGAGAATTTTCTGTTCCCTCTGCCCTTTAACCTGTATGATGCCAACACTTTACTGATGTACTGTCTAGAATTTGGGACTCAGTTTCAGCCCATTTGATCTTCACAATGCCCTCAGTTATGGCTAGTTAAAATTATCCCCATTTTATATGTGAAAAGACAAAATTGGGAGTTGAACCCAGGATTTCAGACCCCCCAAACTGGTGCTTTCTCTATGGGAGATCACTCTCTGTGATGGTTGCAAAGTATTCAGCAAGGACCGTGGGATTTTGTGTACGTGTGTGCATGTGTGTAACAGAAAGGTTATTGTTTTGTTTTCTTAATTGGAATGGCAGTGCTGGGTTTTGAACTCAGGGTCTCATACTTACTAGGGAGGTGCTCTATCACTTGAGCCATGCCTCCAGCCCTGTTTGTTCTTGTTATTTTGGAGATGGGATCTTGCTTTGTGCTCAGGCTGCCTTGGACCATCATCTAATTTATCTTTCCCGCAACTGCTGAGGTGACAGGTATGTATCTACACACACAGCTTTTTCTGTTGAGATGAGTCTCACAAACTTTTTTTTCCTGGGCTGGCCTCAAACCATGATCCTCCTGATCTCTAGCTCCAGAGTAGCTGGGATGAGTGAGAAGTGTACGTCACCCTGCTGAGCAGCTTTTTAGATGTAAGCACCATGGGTGCTCCTGATGCAAATATTTTGGCCAGATTTGTACTTCACAATTTACAGCACTATTTTTGGTATTTAGCTTTAAAGCAGGTTGGGGTCCTGGACATTCCCTGATGCTAAAAGCTTTCTCCTGTGTCCTCTCCCCAGGGGCTAGCATGGTGGCTACAGCTCCAAGTGCTCCACAACCCAGGACACCTGGAGGGATGCTTTCTCCTGGCCTTTTAAAAGAGTGGAATGGATTTAAATTTCTCTATACAGAGGCAGAAAAATTGACTATGTATTTTCATCCTGATACCCCACTGCCTGTTTGGCACCAATATGGGAGAGAAGCCCAGCGGTTGCTGTCTGGCATCTCAGCAGCCGAAAGGTCAGAGACTGCATTTGATGGAAAGCAAAAAATCTATGCATTGGGGATCTCTGTGCTTTTCAGCCAAGTCTCATCCATCCTGCTAGACTCTTTGCCTCCAAGGAGAAATGTAAAGCTGTCAAAGAAGCAGTCCGCAGAGAAGCTCCAAGGACTGTACAGCAGAGAGCACAACATTCTCAGATGTCAAACTCCTGGTCTGTGCATCCTCCTGTCCTTGGAGATTTCCCATTCTGCCCTCAGGGCCTGTGGCTCTAGGGAGGGAGAGGAAAAAGCACACTTCTAGAAAGCCTGTGAGAGCTGCTTTCTGAATTCTGAGCAACACAGGATGGATGTCAGAATCTGGACCTGTGCAAATGGAAAAGAGTTAATTGTCTATTCTCTTGGTCCAGTTTACTTTCTATTTGGAGTCCTTGAGCATGACTGCAGTGCAAGGTTGAAACTTTTTACTTTTCTATCTTTCTATCTCTTTTTTTGAAAGAGCCTCACAATCAACCCAGAACAGGGAGGGTAAATCACAACTCTCCAGCAACTTCTTCTTTGTCTTGTCCCCTGTCATAAAAAAATGCACCAGATACTTGCTATGAAACCAAATATTTACATTAGAAGAATATTAACAATAATTCCATATATGTGCCCCACTGTTCTAAGTGCTTTGCACATATCTGTGTTGGGTGATTAGCATTCACTTAATTCTCACCCATGACCAATGAACCAGTACTAGCATCATCACCCTTTGGATAAATGGAGAGTCTAAGGTAGAGAGAGGTTAAATTCTTGCTCATGGTCTCTCAAGTAATAGTGATAGAGTCACAAGTCAAATCTACAGTCCATGTTATTTAAAAAATTTTTTTGGCTTTTCTCAGCTGCTTTTTTTTTTAACTACCTCATTGTCATGTAATTGATATACAAAAAGCTGTACATATTTAATGTATACAACTTGATGAGTTTGGAGCTAAGTATACACCTGTGAAACCATCAACATAATTGATGCATCATCTCATTTCCTCCTTCCTTCTTATTTATTGCTGTACTTACTGTTGTTGCTGTTGTTCATGGTAAACATATTAAACATAAGATCTACTCTCTAGGCAATTTTTTTAGAAGAAGGAGCTCCTGTCATTTGTGACAACATGGATGAACCTGGAGGACATTATTCTAAGGGAAATAAGCCAGAGTTAGAAGGACAAACACTACATGTGTGCTGCGTCCATGTATGTGATGGATTTAAATAGTCAAACTCAGAATCAGAGAGTAGAATCAGGACAGCCAGGGGATGGAGGAAGGGGAAAGGAGAAGGATGGTCAAAGCGTACAAAGTCTGGATTATACAAGGTGAGTAAATCTTTTGTACAGAATATTGTCTATAGCTAACAATACCTTATTCTATATCTATAAATTTGCTAATAGAGTCCATGTTCTTAACTTCTATATGATATTACATGGTAGCTATAATTAGCAGCAAGAGATTGGTTTGCATAATCTTGAGTATTATTTCTAGATAAATAAATCTCTTTTATTTGTAAGTAAAGAAAAAAGGCTGAAAATACAGGAAATATTAGGGGGTAGGATGCCAGGATATTGCAAGCCAACATTGCTACTCTCAAACAGTACAAGGTTACAGCAGCCAACACCATGGCCCAGCCTCTTCTGGACAGTGCGTTTCAAGGTATGGAGACGTGCTGGTTAGCTCTGGTCTACTACAGAGCAATGCATCCTTCTGGAAGATTCCTAGAAGGCTGAAGAAATTCCCTCCTCTCAAGTTCCTACAGCATGGCATCTTTCCACTCTCTATATAACACACATCACCTGGCAAAGTAGTGTATAGGTACCAGCAGCTGTTCAAACTCCAACTCTGTACAACTCTCAAAGAAAACATAGATGATCACAAGCTCAAAAGACAACAACTATAAACCCTCTACCACGGTGTTAATTTTTGAGGCCCATGCACAGCAAATGAAACCTTTAGCAGAGCAGTGGGCAGATTACTAAAGAGTCTATTGTTTTCTAATGAATTGTAACACTCAGGTATCCTGTCTTCCAAATCTTTGCTGGAGGTTCAGTGTTGGCTGCTGCAGAATTCAACATGGTGTTGACCTCAGCACATCTCCTTACCTGGTCTTGGACCATTGCTCCACCAAAAGCCCAGATGGCAGCAAATACAAAATAAAGTTCATAGGTTTCCTTAGGGCAGTCTGTAGGGATGTCCTCTTTGGTCAGGAAACACTCAAGAAGGTGGCACAGCATCTGAACCATGCTCTGCTCTGGGACTGGAATTATCTTCTTAAATCTGCAAAGAGAGACCAGGATTGGCTCTAAAATACCATGGACATTTCATCTTGGAGGTGTCACTTAGACAGCCATGGAAACCCCTTAGTTTCAGAGGACTCATGATTTGTCAGATTCTTTGGGATTACAGAGGACTTTGGTGCTACTTAAGTCTTGATTCTCATCAGCTACTCTTGGGTCAGCTTCCTCTGTAGAGAAGTAAGGGAATGGAGCCCTCCAGAGAAGGTTCCTTTTCTCACCTTCCTTCCACTGATACCCTACCCCTCTCTCTTCCCTTCTCTTTGCATTGATATGCCCTCCTTTGGAGAATGTCAGAAGTTGCAACAAAACATGCCAGCACCTCACTCTTTCACTCTTCTCACAATTTCTTTCATAGTAATAAAACACCTGAAAAGAGAATTTGGGCACAATTCTGAGCTTTGTCCTTTTACTCCTTCACCTCAATAATTTTCTTTCAATTAAAACACACTGAAAACAGGTTCCTGGGGCTAGAGTCTTATCTGGGATTAAAGGGGACTGGGACAGATGGCAATTTTATACAATCATGAACTGAATGGAATATTTTTTATCTGAAAATGTACCTCTATGACTTTTCCCTGGTCCAGTGTTTTTATTTTTAACTTCAGCTTTAGAGGTCTTAATTGAAAGGCAGATAGCAAGAGATGCACAGAAGACATCCTATGCCCAAGAAACTAGGAGTGTACACACACACACACACACACACACACACTCACACACACACACACATCCTTTCCTGTGTATACACAATGCACCCTACATAGCCACAAACAACTCTGACTGCCACCTGCCACAGAATGATGTGCTACAGGGAGGTAGAGTCCACTGTTATAAGATGAAAAACACCATCAGCTGCCATCTTAGAAGTCATTTACCCAAAGGAGCTAAAAATATACGATGGAGAAATAGCAGCCTCTTCAACAAAAACTGCTGGGAAAACTGGTTAGCAGTCTGCAAAAAACTGAAACTAGATCCATGTATATCACCCTACACCAAGATTAACTCAAAATGGATCAAGGATCTTAATATCAGACCCCAAACTCTTAAGTTGATACAAGAAAGAGTAGGAAATACTCTGGAGTTAGTAGGTATAGGTAAGAACTTTCTCAATGAAACCCCAGCAGCACAGCAAATAAGAGATAGCATAGATAAATTGGACCTCATAAAACTAAAAAGCTTCTGTTCATCAAAAGAAATGGTCTCTAAATTGAAGAGAACACCCACAGAGTGGGAGAAAATATTTGCCAGCTATACATCAGACAAAGGACTGATAACCAGAATATATAGGGAACTTAAAAAACTGAATTCTCCCAAAACTAATGAACCAATAAGGAAATAGGCAAGTGAACTAAACAGAACTTTCTCCAAAGAAGAAATTCAAATGGCCAGAAAACACATGAAAAAATGCTCACCATCTCTAGCAATAAAGGAAATGCAAATTAAAACCACACTAAGATTCCACCTCACCCCTGTTAGAATAGCCATCATCAGCAACACCACCAACAACAGGTGTTGGCGAGGATGCGGGGAAAAAGGAACCCTCTTACACTGTTGGTGGGAATGTAGACTAGTACAACCACTCTGGAAAAAAATTTGGAGGCTACTTAAAAAGCTGGACATCGATCTACCATTTGATCCAGCAATACCACTCTTGGGGATATACCCAAAAGACTGTTACTCCAGAGGCACCTGCACATCCATGTTTATTGCGGCACTATTCACAATAGCCAAGTTATGGAAACAGCCAAGATGCCCCAGCACTGACGAATGGATTAAGAAAATGTGGTATCTATACACAATGGAATTTTATGCAGCCATGAAGAAGAACAAAATGTTATCATTCGCTGGTAAATGGATGGAATTGGAGAACATCATTCTGAGTGAGGTTAGCCTGGCCCAAAAGACCAAAAATCGTATGTTCTCCCTCATATGTGGACATTAGATCAAGGGCAAACACAACAAGGGGATTGGACTATGAGCACATGATAAAAGGGAGAGCACACAAGGGAGGGGTGAGGATAGGTAAGACACCTAAAAAACTAGCTAGCATTTGTTGCCCTTAACGCAGAGAAACTAAAGCAGATACCTTAAAGCAACTGAGGCCAATAGGAAAAGGGGAACAGGTACTAGAGAAAAGGTTAGATCAAAAAGAATTAACCTAGAAGGTAACACCCACGCACAGGAAATCAATGTGAGTCAATGCCCTGTATAGCTATCCTTATCTCAACCAGCAAAAACCCTTGTTCCTTCCTATTATTGCTTATACTCTCTCTACAACAAAATTAGAAATAAGGGCAAAATAGTTTCTGCTGGGTATTGGGGGGAGAGGGAGGGGGGAGGGGGGGAGTGGGTGGTAAGGGAGGGGGTGGGGGCAGGGGGGAGAAATGAACCAAGCCTTGTATGCACATATGAATAATAAAAGAAAAATGAAAAAAAAAAAAAGAAGAAGTCATTTACCAGCTTTGGACCTTAAAGTTGTCTGGCATCCATTCTCTCCAGTGTTTTTCATTCGTGACTGTTTTTAATATGCTTGCAGTCCTTCCAAAGGTACTAGGACATGGTCTAATCACTTCCATGAGTAATGAGAAAGCTGAATCCCTGATGGGCCTTCCTTCATTTATTCGATGCATATTTGTCACAGATAAATAAAATGGAACCATCTGAGGCTCAATGTTAAATGAAGCACCAAGAAAGAGGGCCAGCTGCCTTTATGTTCCAGATGACCTAGGTGGTACTCACAAAGGGCCCCTCACCCTGTCAGTGTGGTATCAAGGATCAGATGCTGGAGGGGCTAGAAATAAGCTCAGAGGATTTTTGGAAAAAGACTTGGTGTGAAGCATGAGTGTTCACTTCCCCAAAGGAAGGCAGGACTTGCCACTGATAATGAGGCTAGGAAAGGGGCTTCATTTGGACTACTTCAAACTAGTACAGGGCTCATGCCTGGGAGACCACAATTAGCCTTAGGATTTTACAGTGGAGTGTACAGAGTTTCTTGTTGGGACAGACTGAACCTCAGTTTGTCAAAGCAAAGTAAGGGCAAGTGTTTCCTGGGGAATCCAGGTATGAGCTAGTGCACGTGGCTAGGGGGTGCCATGGTGGGGTGAAGTGTGGGGGTTTGTGTGAGGAGCAGCATGTGACTAGCTAAAAGATACAGATGGGAGATCTCTAGTGATGCATAGAGATTCAACGAATTCCCCAAGTCCTCCAAAGAGAAGGTCAGATGTTAAGATCAGCTATAGTTATAGTAACTGATGCTACAATGCTCTCTTTCCTCCTTGAACCCTGAGGGTCAGAAGCTACAACTTCTGAGGAAAGATAAAAGAAGTCTAGAGCACTTCCCTTTCCCACTGCAAGCCTACTGTGGAGACAGAAGATCCCATTGCAAATTAGGTTTGTTTTTTTAAAGTTTCACTAGACGTGTGTGTGTGTGTGTGTGTGTGTGTGTGTGTGTGTGTGTGTGCTTTTAGAAGTGACCAGGTAGCTTTTTATTACTAAAGAGTGATCAGAAAACTTTGGACATTGACCTAGAGTTCACCCATGGGCAGGAGGAGAACTAGTTATACAAACTGGTTTTGAAGGGACAACTGGAAACAAGATAATTGTTTTACAACCACCCCTTGTTCTATAAAAATATTAGTGTGTGTTGATATCACATAGTTTTGTGTTAACAGGGCTGCAGAAGTAAGGCCTTAAAGTCAACGCCTCTGCTACAACCAGCTATGATGCCCTGGGAGCATGGGGAACCTCAACTTTCATTCCCTCATCACAGCTGCTGAGCCTCTCAGGAGAGCTATGAGAATGAGATGAAACTGCACCCAGAGAGAGTGACTGTAAATGACAACTATTCTTCTTCCTTGTTCATATACGAGCTGTCTCTGGATAAACTTAATACAGTTAGAATCTCTGCAGATGTTTCAAAGACTGTGCATGTACCAGCACACACTCACACACATACTACAAACACACATACACAAACACACACACATACTACAAACACACATACACAAACACACACACATACTACAAACACACACACACACACACACAGGAGTTTGGTGTCTCTTATTCTAAACACCCAGAGTGGGAAATGGCAGGACTTTTGGTCAAAGGATATTTTGAACAAGTGTCCCAGCAAAAGACAAGGTGGCAGAGATGGACTATCCTCCTAACAGCTGGCCCTTCTCAGGCATTTCAATTCCCTGCTGCCCTGGCCCATTTGTGTGGCACTAACCATACTGCCACATTCCAGACCTTGCTGGCTACCAGGTCTGCATTAGACCATCAGGGCACAGAGCCAAGGGCCGCCAGGGGCTGAAGGATTTGCAGAGGCATATGAAGATGCTGATAGTTGGAAAAATAATTATTGGCCTTGAAATATAAAAACTGTAGAATAAAAATTAATGTTTCATTAACTATCTAAAATATACCATTATGTGAACTACTAGATTGAAACTTAATTATTACTTACACAAAATTAACTTTTTAATGTGGGTGGAATTTTTAGGGTGAGAGGCAGGGCGTATGGAGGAAGAGTGCCCTTGCAACACTGGTGCTGTCTGCTGAAATTCTCTGTCCTCCTCTGCCTCCACATTGTGAGCAGCTGGAGTCACAATCAATTTGAGTGATGGACTGTAATTTCTTGGAAACAATCCTGACTCAAAACTGTGGGATCTTCAGAGTCATGTTGTCTTTATAGCACCAGCCTCTGGTGCCCATTCTTGGAGATGGGTCCCAGATTCACAGATTAGTGTATGAAATAGCAAATAAATACACAAATAAAACAGAAGCAGGTTTCAGGCCTGGGAACCTCTCTATACTGACACATGCAATATTCTTGCTATCATAAGTATCTTTACATAAGAATAATTAATCTATTATTTAGGTAATAGTTGGTGCTATAGTTTGGATCTTCAGTGTCCCATAAAGGCCCCTGTGTGTTAAAGGTTTAGTCTCCACTTTGGGACTTTGGAAACCTTGAAGGGGTGGGGCCATATGGGAGGTGTTTCTCAAAGGGAATTGTGGGACCCTGTCTCTTCCTCTCTCTCTTTCACTTTCCAAATATGAGATGGGTGGTATTGCTCTGCCACGTGTTCCTCCCATAATGCACCTCCACAGGTCCAATGCAACAGGGTCAACCAACCATAGGCTGACATTGTCAAAACAAGTCTTTTTTCTTCATATGCTGATGATCGCTGTATAGTTGCTACAGCAATGGAAAGCTAACTAACACAGGTGGCCAGGGCTTGTTGCTTCTACTTTTCCAAAACTATAGAGAAAAAGGAAACTCACAAATGCCTAGGACTGGTCAAATGATGCATAATACCTAATCCCACACTATCTGAGCTGTGATGACACATAGTCAGGAACAGAAAGTGGCCCCTATTGGTCCCTGACAAGTGTCATCTTCACCTCTTGTCCTGTTGGTCTGGCCTATGTAGCCTCTGTAGGACAGCTAGCTGCTGGCCCTGCAGACACAAAGGATCTGACTCTCAGAACTGTTATTTGATATTCCAACTGATGCCTCCTTCAGATATATCCACATGGCACTTATGAAAAGCACTTTAAATCCTCTTCCTCTTCACTATGTCTCTTCTTGCCTGAACTGACAATAGGCATCCCAGGGGCATCCTAATGTGTGTTTCCCTCTGCCATCTGCTGTGCCTGGAGGGTTCTGACTTTGGGGACAGGACAGAACATCAGCAGGACATCAGATATGAGCCAACAGTTCTTTATTGCTGCATTAATTTGCTCGCTTCCTTATTTCTTTGCTTACCTGGTTCTGAGTGTTTCTAAGCAGGTTGGAAGATACTTGTCAAACAGAATGGTTAGGTTGGCTTTCTCTGTTTGGACTTCCCTCTGGTCAATCCAGCTACTCACTGGAGGATTCCATCCCAGGTCTGCTGGGTTGATATACAGGATTCCTGGTAGTACAGGGAAGATTGTGCAATGAGTATTCCATATACCTCACTATGTTTTTCACCCTAGAGAGTTAGCTTCTTGAACTAAAAAAAGTGCTGAAGACTTGACTTAAGCAGACAGAGACCTGGTCTCAGTCAGAGAGGGCACCTGAGTTTGCCATTGAAGACCAGTGTCAACTGACTGATAACAGATGAATGGAGATCAGTGTTTAGAGGAACCAAGGGTTAAGTCCAGGCTCAAGAGGAATGAAGGCTGTGATTGATCAGCAACACTTGTCACTATGTGGAAGTGTACAGTGAGTCCATGTCCTAACTGTTAGAACCTGTCAATATGAACTTACTTGGAAAGAAAGGCCTTTGCAGATGTAATTCAGTTAAAGATCTTGAGATAAGAAATTTTAAAGCGTTCTTATAAGAGAAAGAAGAGGAGAGACACATGCAGATCAGAGCTATGTGAAACAATAGCCAAGTGATAAAATCAGCCTAGGTGCCCAACGAATGGATAAAGAAAATGTGGTATATGTACACAATGGGATATTATTCAGCCATAAAGAGAAATATTATGTCATTTGCAGGAGAATGAACGAAACAGAAGACCATCATGTTAAGCATAATGCCAGGCTCAGAAAGACAAATACCACATTTTCTCTTTTATGTGGAATCTAGACCTAAAACATAATAAAAATACAATATGAATGTAAAAGGGGGACTGTTCCAGGGGAACAAACAGGAGGGAGAAAGGAAAGGGTGACAGGGGTAAATATAATGGAAGTACATTTTATGTACATATGAAGAAGATAGCACAATGAAACCTACTAAAATTGTTTTTTAAAAGATGGGGGAAGAGATGAGAAAGGGTAATAGAGGGGGTTGAATTTGGTCAAAGTACAATATATGGGTAAATGGAAATGCTACAATGAAACTTCACTGTACAATTAATATATGCTAATTAAAAAAAAGTCATGTGAAAAAGGTGGAGATTAGAGTTCTGAGGCCATAAGCCAAAGTAGCACTTAAGCTGGAAGATGCAAGGAAGAATTCTCCCCCAAGACTGGAAGGAGCAAGCCTTGCTTACATTAATTTTGGATGTTTTACCTCCAGAAATGTGAGAGAATAAAGTTCTGCTGTTTTAAAAGCCACCAAGCTTACAGTGATTTGATACACTTATTACAGCAGCCTAGAAAGCTGGCAGAGTGGGAAGTCATTCTCCTGACCTGTACTTACCATGCTTAGCCAGGTCCTTGAGAGAAAAATTTCCTTTTTTTATCATTTATTTTTATCTTATTTCTTTATTATTTTAAAAGATATTTTAACATCTTTACAGAGGTATAATTTATATCCAAAACATTGTACATATTTAATGTATACTAGTTGTTGAATTTGGACGCATCCAAGCAGCTATAGAAACTATTACAGTTACTGTAATAAACACAGCTGTCACCTCTAAAAATTCTTCATACTGCGTGTGTGTTAAGAACACTTAACCTGAGATCTATCCTCCTAACAAAATCTTAAAGGTATATAATACAGCACTGTCAACTATGGACACTCTGTTATACAGCAGGTCTGTAGAACTTCCTTCTCCCACATAAACATTGTACCTGCTGGACACTCCCCCACTCTCCCCTGCCCTGGCAACCACCATTCTACTCTACTTCTTTAGGTTTGCTTATTTTTACACTCTAGTCTCTGCTACCAAATTGAGTTGGTGTAGACAGGAAAGTTAAGGTAACATTGCCATTTTCTATTAGGAGATCTTGAGAACTGGCAATATTTGGTCATGTCCATAGACATGGAGGCTAGAACTGGTCTGAATGTAGTAGCCTACTTCTAGACAATTCTGTGCAATCCACAGTTCCTCTCCACATCTCCACTATTGCCACATTTCTGAATTAACAAACTCATTGGGCCTGGCCTTAGGGTACCTGCGTGCTCTTGTGGATGTGGATTAGCGCTGAGAACCAGGAAAGAATACTGGTTAATCAGGGTTCTGGCTCCTGCTTGGACTTCCTTCAGGGTCCACAAACTGCTCAGCTGTGCATTTCCCCTGAGGTCATACCTGCTCTGGAGACTGTAGCCGGGGTGGCTGTGCGCAGGTGGCTGATCTCAAAGAGGAGCCGCATGGTGGGGTTAAGAGGAATCCTCTCGTTGCTTGCCAGGGTCAGCACCTAGAACCAAGGGGCGGGACATGCAGTTAGGAAAAGGTTAGGACAGGTAGCCAGCTGGTAGGGATTTGGTGGATTCTTGTGGGTAAGGCTTATGGATGTGTTGGAAACTAAATCCCTAATGCAACAACATCAAGAAGTGGAACCTTTCAGAGGTGATGAGGTCACAAGGCCTCCACCCCATAAAGGATCAATGCTGATCACAGGTTGGGGAGGCTTGAGGCTGTGAGTTCTCTTCCTGGCTCTCTTGCCCTTCCCCTTCTCATCTTCAGCTGACACAGCAAGAAGGGCAAGGACGTCCTCATAGATGTGATCCCTCCATCTTAAGAAACTTTAGCCTCCAGAATTGTAAATCAAATAAATGTTTTTCTTTATAAATTACCAATCCCGAGTATTCTGTTACAGTAGCACAGAAACAGAACAATTAGTTTCTTTCTTTTCTTATTTTTGGTTATTAGTTATTTTCTCTCCTCCTCCTTCCCCTCCCCTTCCCTTTCCCCCTCCTCCTTCTCCTCCTTCTCCTCCGCCTCCCTTCTTCTTCTCAGTACCAGGGTTTGGGTTCAGGACCTTGGGCTTACTAACAGGTACTGTACCATTTGAGCCAGCCCCCCCCACCCCACCATTTTTTTAATTAATTGGTAGAGCACCTGCCTATTTATTTATTTTTTTTTTTCACAAAAGGTGTCGCATTTTTACCTGGGCTGTTCTCAGACTGAGGTTCTCCTATCTATGCCTCCTAAGCAGCTGAATTACAGACCTGTACCACCACATCCAGGTTGTTTGTTGAGATGGGGTGTAAGTAATTTTTGCCTGGGCTGGCTTCTGACTGCAGTCCTCCTGCTCACTGCTTCCCAAGTGCTGGGATTACAGGCATGAGCCGCTGTGGCTGGCCTTCATTATTAGTATTCCTGCATTTTCTACAGTAATCCTGTAGAAATCTCTTACCCTGTACCCCTCTCCACTCCCACCCCTTTGTCTTCTGTGTGTGTTGATCAGGAAAAAAAAGTTATTTAAACAGCTTATATTGATGCCTATAATTTGAACAAACTAAACTACATTTGAATAATATAACCATTAAAAAAAAGAGCTCTGGTTTCATATTACTGCCCTTCCTAAGTAGTCGCACTGGGAGAGTGTACTTTTATTCTAAGGATGCTGGGAATGTTAGTTCCATCTCAACATTCCCAATCTGGATGAGCTTTCTGAACAGGTCTAAGGACAGCTCCCAGCTTAGCAGCCATGTTGCTGACATTCCATTAGTCTTCACTGTTTCCAAAAAATAACAGGTACTTTCAATGGATAGATATTTGCAAACCTGGAGGGTGTTTGACAGGCTTAGAGTGCTTCCGATCTTTAGTTTCCTTATTTATAGAAAAGGGAAAGAATTAGAAAAAAGATTTGAATTGACAGCTTAAGATTCTTTTCATCTCTAAACATTAAAAGGCAGACAATTCTGAAGGAAATGACAATCAGGCCAAAAATGAGGTAGGCAACAGCAGTGCCATTGATGTAGCTAAGGTGATGGTGGGAAATGGATCGGTTTTGAGATGTCTGTTAGACACCAGTGATAGCTGGTTACTCTGTGTCAGCCATCATGTAACACTCATCTGGCTTCGCAGATGACTAGGGATGACATGGGGACCTCCCCTCCCCTTCTGATACCTTGTTATCATCCATGACTGTGTTCAGAGATTCAATCCACATTGGATCTATGTCACCATCCAGTAAAATCCACTTGGGCCCATCATGGGAGATGTTAGCAAGGTCTCGCATGATGGAAGAGAACAAGCCTAAAAGAAACCATGGATAACTTGCTTTCTACTTCACCATCATCAGCCTCTTTCTCTTAACACTATTTCCTTTCTTTGGTTATATCACTCAGAAGGAGACATAAATGGAAGAGGACTTTGTGTCTTGCTATACCTCCAAACTTGACAGTTCCCAAGGTGCATTTTCTCTTGTGCTCCAGTCTAACCTGTGACATCAACAAGACCACGAGAACAACAGTAGCAACAATGCCTGACAGTAACAGTTTGATTGATTGATTGAGTGATTGATTGATTTTCGCGGTACTGGGGTTTGAGCTCAGGGCCTACACCTTATACCTTGAGCCACTGCACCAACCCTTTTTTGTGATGGGTATTTTTGAGATAGGGTCTCACAAACTATTTGCCCAGGCTGACTTTGAACTGCGATCCTCCTGATCCCTGCTTCCTAAGTTGCTAGGATTACAGGTATGAGCCACCTGCACCTGGCCTAGTACCACCTTTTTAAGTGACAAAAGACCCAGTGAATCATTTCAGCCAGTGGCTGTAGCATGGTGCAATTATATTAATATGAAACTTTTTCAGGTAAAGTTTTCATTCTTTGTAACTGCAGTCCTAGTGAATCTTGCCCAAGACAGGCTTTGGGAGAAGACTCAACTGGTTCTTATTGTTATTATATTAGAATTTATATGTTAATTTGGGTAGATTGATTTTTATGATATTAAACTTTCCCAGTCAACAATATGGCATGTCTTTTCATTTATTCAGATATTGTTTTATGTCCATAATAAAATTTTACTGCTTTTAAAATATATCTCTTTGGCTAAATGTGTTCCTAAATATTTCATAGTTTTATTGTTATTGTGAATGGGTTGTCTCTTCCTTATTTCCAGCTGGCTGGTGTTAGTTTAGAGAAAAGCTACCAAACTTAGTGTATTTATTTTACATTCAGTTACCTTTAATAAATGTTCTTATTAACTCTGGTAATTTTCCAATGTTTCATGGGTTTTCTAGGTATAAAATTGTAGAATCACCAAAACAGTAACTTTTCTTTTTTTTCTCCAATTTATAAAATGTTTTCCATTTTATTGTTTTACTGCATTTTCTAAAAGCCCCATAACCAAAAGCGAATAATAATTAATAGTAGGCCTCACTAGATTGTTCCTGGTTTTAATGGAAATGGCTTTATTGTATCATTATTCAGAGTGATTTCATTTTCTCTTTGGTTTCAGATATTTACAGTATCATACTTAAGGAATTTCCTCTATTCTTATTTTACTTAGAACTTTCTATTAGAAATAGAAAGTTTTAAGTATCTATTGGTTGATCAAATTATTTTGCCCTTTAATTTGTCAATGTTTTTTGTTACTATTTTATAAAAGATAACTGACCTATCCTTACACTCCTGGAATACATTCTACTTTGTCACACTGTACAATTCTTTTGAGATACTGAATTCTATTGCTAGCATTTTATGTAGAATTTTGCTTCTACATAGAAGTTGATATAAAGATTATTCTGGCTTCAAAAATGATTTCAGAGCTGTCTTTGTATGAGTTTGGAATTATTTGGGTTTTTTTTCTTTTACTATCTTTAAATTTTCCTTTTCGTTAGTTTACTCAAGTTTTCTACTTCTTATTCAATAAATGTTGCTAATTTGTATTTTGCTACAGGGTCATCTATTTTGTCTACTTTTTCATATATGTGCCATCTAATTAAATACTTTCTTCTAGTTTAATCTTGTGTGTATCTATTATATGTCCTTTCTGATACCCTTTTCCCCATTAATCATGCTCACAGTGAATGTATTTTATTGGTCTTTACAAAGAACCAATATTTATATTTATTTCTCTTTTTGATGATTTCTTTGTCTTTTTTCTGGCTTATTTCAGATTTTGTTGTTATTAGTTTCTTTGCCCTCATCATTTTCTTCAAATTTAGCTTGAGTAATTGCTTAATATAATACTAACTTCCTTTATTTCCAATTAACTTTCCATAATAGAGTTTAATATTTTTTTCTTATAGGCTTTAGATATGCCCCATAGGTTTTCTATGAATTGTTCTTTTATTGGTTCCTTGAAGTGTTTCAGTTTAGTTTTCCTTTTGATACAGGAGTAGAGAGCATTGTTTGATTTGCAAGTAGTAAAGAGATTTTCCTGATAGTTGTTTCTAACCCTGTTGCGTTATCAGAGAATATGGCCTATAAATTGATACTTTTGAATACAATGTAGCTTCCTCCATGGCCAACCAAATGTTTAATTTTTGCAAATGTTCTATGAACCAACCAAGAAAGGAATGCTTTCTATTTGTGGGATGCAAAGTTCTATAATTATGTGTCCTACTGTGTTTGATCATGTGTTTGCAAATTCCTCTTATTTTTCTGTGCACCAACATCATCTAATTTTGAAAAAGTCTTAATAAGATTGTGTTTTTATTTTTATCAGGTACTCCTAAAAATTTCTAAAAGGCTGTGTTCCATTGACTTTGAAATTACATTGTTTAATGAATACACATTCTTGATTATTATGTCTTTCTTGTCAGTTTCTCCAAATTCAATGTGCAAATTTAATAAAACTTTAATTAGAATTATGACAGCTTAAAGTGCTGAATTATATTATTGAACTTAAGTTTAATATGGAGAAAGACGTGTTTGAGGCTATCCAAGAAAATTACAAAAGAATATTGAGGAGCAATTTACCTCATCAGATGTTAAAATATGCTAAAATATGATTGCAACTGAAATGGAATGATATTAGTATGGGATCAGATAAATAGGAGAGTGAGCAGAATGGAAAGCCCTGAATCAGATCACAGTATGTAGGGAATTTAATAAATGACAAGCTGGTGTTTAAGATCAAAGAGAAAGGATGGCTTACTTAATAAATGATGCTGGCACAATCAATTATCCATCTGGAAGAAAATAACGTTGATTTTCTACTTCACCTCATACTAAGTCCCTAAATAAATTCCAGATGGATTAAAAAATGTTAATGTAAAAAGAATCCTTATTGACCAAATTTATGGTACTATATCTGTAGCTGAAAATTAGAGTCATAAACAAAATAGGAATCCCAGATGCTAAAAAGTCTAGACAGGCATAATTTCCTTTTTAAAAAAATATGCATGGCAAAATATGACATGATGTGTCTATGGGCAAGTGACAGACACATTAGCAACACATATAACAGATAAAGCATCATTAGCTTTTCTATATAAAGAACTCTTGCACACTGGTATAAAATAACAAGGGGAAATAAAAACACAAAAGAGCAAATCACGAAGACCAATAAGAAGGAAAAGCTGCTAAGCCTCACTAATAGTGAGTGAAATGAAAATTAGAGAAGCTGCTCACTAAGTCTCTTTGCCCTAGGCCTCTGATTGAAACTGCTAAATTAAAGAGATCCGGGAGGTTTGGTCCTGATAGAGTCAGATGCTGGAACGTTAAGAGGAGCTGGTATTTCTTATCTCACAGTACAGTGTGAACATGGGTTTGGAGTCCTCTGAATCACTGTGGAAGGGAATGTGGAACTGAGAGGACAATCCCTGCATCACCAGGGGCCTGACCCAGGCACAGTGTCCAATAGCACACAGTGTCCCTATTACTGCTGGGGCAGTGGCACAGTGGCAAGTGGCCTCTAGGGATGCCAGCCCACACCACTTTTATGGGAATGCCTTAAATCCACTGCCAGGCAGTGTGCTGACTCTACACCATGCTGTGTGCTCTAGACTCAGGGAATCAGCAAACTACAGCTGAATGTCTGCTCTGCTTTCTCCTCTACCAGGGCTCTCTCCAAAAGGCAGCTGGAAAAGGCCTTGGAGGAGGGAGAACATCTGAAAAGCTGAGGTTCCCCTCCTAGCCAAAACTGGGTTCTTCCTTTCCATTGTCTTTTACATCTCCTTCTGTGATCCTAAACAGACAGGCGTTCTCTTCTCTATGTTCTCCCTACTAGATCTAATTCTGTCCCGGGGACTCAGAGGATAGTAGGGACTTTCTCTGTGGGGACCCCACTCTTACCATCCTTCCATTCTCGTGTAGCTGGGTTGATGATGCCAAAGAGCTCGTCATTTGTGACTGCTTTGGGGTTGAGGTCAGTCCAGATGGGGCGGCGTCTCATGATCTGATAGGTCTTGTGCAAGGACCTCAGCACCTGGGACTTGCCGGTACCAGCACCACCCACAACAAACACGGAGTGCCGCACAGCCAGCAACTCCTCCAGCTGGACCACCTGGGAGATAGGGGAGGAACCTGGTTGTCACCACCTGCCACCTGCTCTTCTGTGAGCCAGGCTGGTGTTTGAAGTGGGATCTGAAGTCAACAGCAAAGGGTTATTTACCCCCAAATGTGATGGGGTCTGAATCAAAGGGCAACCCAATTTATCCATTGATGCAGTCATGCATTTATTAGTCACCAGCTAAGTGCTAGAGACTCTAGTGTGCCCTATAAGGTAGATTCAGAGAGGGTGTGTGTTCTGGTGGAGAAGAAAGTCACATTGGCAAACAGACAACTACTTGGAGCTCTTCAGTGATGCTTTCCCATGCCTGTGGCTTTAAACATACTCTGCCTTCTGTTTAGAAGTCACTTTTTCTCCTACATTTCTCTGGCCAATCTCTGCATAGTCCCCAGGAAACCTTTGGTCTGGGGTAGGTATCCCATACCCACAATCTACATCCTGGCACTTGACAATATTGTAATGGTTAGTTTTCTGTATCACAATTCAAATATCAGCTCACTGAAGGCAGGCAAAGCTTTAAGAGGTGGGGCTTAGTGGGATGTCCTTATATCAACTGGGGACATGTTCACAAAATGGATTAAGGCATTTCTTGTGGGAACCTGGTTAGTTCTCAGAAGAAAATTGTTATGAAAATAATTTCTGAGCCTGGCCCCGAACCTCCCCCTCCCACCTGCCAGCTCTTTCTGGCTTCCTGCATTGAGATATGAACATGCTTCTGCCATTGCCATCCATCACGATGTGAAATAACTGAGAAGGCCCTCATCAGAACCAGGTTAGTACAGGTGTCCCACCCTTGAACTTCGGGGTTCCTCTAAGCTTGTCCTCTAGGACCCCATGTTGATGAGAGATTCTGAGGTCATTTGATTTCATTCCCTTTCTGGATCAATTCCAGTACCTTCTTACTCTATTGTTCAACTAGAAAACTTTTCATTCTTTGCACTTGACCCTTGAAATTCCATTAGTATGTGTCTTGAATAAGCCCATTTAAATTCACTCTGTATTCAGTATTGAGTGATTGCAGTTTAGATACATGACTTTGCTAGCTCTAATAACTTTTCTCAGATTCTTTCTAGAATTCCTGTTGGTGACATGTTGGATAACTTAGATTGGTGGTCTCTGTGTCATCTTGCCTGTCACACTTTGACTCTGTTTTTATGTGTACCTATTTTACTGTACATTACATGTAGCATTCCATCCTTGGAGATTTGACTTTATCTCTTAATCCTCTTGCTGAATTTTTTATGTCACCAATGACATAATTTTACATTCCAAAGAGCTCTTTACAATTCTCCAGTAAGTCTTTTTATTATAGCATCTTATTCTTGTTTTATGGATATTATTTTCATTCTTATCTTCAATGATACTAATCAGAACATTTTGAATGTTCTCTTTTTAATTTTCACTAGGTGTGTGTGTGTGTGTGTGCGCGTGCCTATGTTGTTGATTTTCTCCAATATTGAGGAAGCCTTAAGTTTAAATAAAGAGATGCCCCGTGTTTCCTTGGAAGCTGAGCTGGTTTTTGTTGGTGGCTGGTCACTCAAGTCTCTCCAGGATAGGGTGAGTGGAAGCTCTGTGGACATGGTCAGATCTGGCCCTTTGTCCTGTTCTTTCACTTGTGTGTGCATTAGCAGGTAGCGGGCCTTCTGTTGAGGGACCCCAAAGAGAATGTCTTTGAGGCACCAGTGCCCCAAAAGCAGTTTTAGTCTCCTCTAAAAAGTTTATTAAATTGTCTTGAAGACTTTTTTTTTCTTTTTGGCCTTGACTTGCCTGGCTGCACAGGGTCTGCATTACCTGGGAATTGGGAACTAGAAGGAGGTCCTGGCAGAAGAGTATGAGGAGTCTAGCGGCAAAAGTAAAAGGTAAACCAATTTAATGACAGCCCTTGCTGTTTTCAATTCTCTTTCTCATTGTTGCCTCCTTAACTACCAGCTGCTTCTCCAGGCAGAATGGCTATCTGAGACCCCTCTTCCCCTGAAGCCATTTCTAAATGTATTCTATTCCACTACTCCCTCTGCTGGGTCTATCAACTCACTTTCATCCTTTCCATCTTTTTTGAAATTTATTACATGCCCTCTTTCCAGTTTTCACAGTTCTATGAGTTTGCTCCTTTTTCCTAAAAATACATATATTATCACATTAAGACTCACGATGCCACCAGAGCCCATGAGGCAGCTTTTGAGGAATTATTTTTCAGAAATTCAAGTGGACAATGTAAGGTTTGTAGACACACTGTCATTGTCAAATGCTCCAAAATCCATTAGCAGAGACCTGGTGTTATCAGAGGAGCAGGAAGTAGCTATGAAAAAAGAAGAAGAAAAGAAGGAAACAGAATGTTTCCTAACAGACAAATAAACAGAAAGAAAGAGGAAGAGTCTGAGAAGGAAAAAGATGCAGAACATGGGGAGGGGGAGGACCAAATGCTGGAGAACCTGGAAAGGCAGGACTGTCCTGATTTTAGGACATCATCGTCAGTGCAAGCATCCTATGAATACATCAGGTTTGAGTCATCTCTGGGGTGAGGGTACCTCTGAGGGTCAGACCTTTAAGGGGAAAGACCTTGCCTGACATTCAGAAACCTGTATAACATGGTCCCATGTTGTCTCAGGTCTTATTGCTCACTCCCTGATTCTCTACCCTGGCTTGCATTTCTTTTCTTTCTCTCTTTTTTCTTTCTTTCTCTTCTTTCTTTCTTTCTTTCTTTCTTTCTTTCTTTCTTTCTTTCTTTCTTTCTTTCTTTCTTTCTCTCTCTTTCTTTCTTTCTCTTTCCTTTTCTTTCTTTCTTTCCTCTCTCCCTTCCTCCTTCCTTTCTCCCTTCTTCTTCCTTCTCCTCTCTCTCTCTCTCTCTCTCTCTCTCTCTCTCTCCCAGCAGTACTGGGTTTGAACTCAGGGATTCATGCTTGCTGAGCCAAATCTCCAGTCCTTTTTTGCTCTGTTTATTTTGAAGATAAGGTCTCACTTCTTGCCCAGGCCAGCCTGTCCCATGATCTTCCTAACTTATGCTTCTCACTTTCTCTGGGATGACTGGTGTGTGGCATCACACCTAACTTTTTTCCATTGAATTGGGGCCTTGCAAACTTTTGCCCCAGCTGGTCTAGAAACATGATCTCCCAATCTCAGCCTCCAAGTAGCTAGGATTACAAGTGTGAGCCACCAGCACCTGGTTTCTATACCTAGACTTCCTAATGTTCCTTGTAAATCTTTATATTTCCAACATACACCCCGTTGCTGACTCTTTTTTCTCTACCTAGAACTCCATCTTGCCCCTCTCTATGTCAAATGTCTATCCATTTTATGTGGGAAGCAGAGATAGGGAGGACTGGGTTTGGAGCCAGCCCAAACAAAAAGTTAATGTGACCTCCATCAGAACAAATAAACTAGGCATGGTGGTTCAAATCTATAATCCCAGGTATAGGAGGTGTAAGTAGCATGATCACAGTGAGAGGCAGGCCTGAGCAAAAAGTGTGAGGCCCTATCTGAAAAACAACCTAAAGTAAAAAAGGCTAGAGGTGTAGCTCAAGTGGAACAGCACTTGCCTAGCAAGGGCAAGACCCTTAGTTCAAACCCTAGTAAGGCCAAAAAAAAAAAAAAAAAGTCTATCCACTGAACTTGGGAGAAGGGAAGTGGGAGGTGGGAGGTGGGGATGGACCAATCTATAGAAGCAATCACAGCTACAAAGGAACAGGTAACACTTTGCAAAAGAGAATTCAGGGAATGTGAGCAGACACTTGCTATGAGGGGGAGACTATTCCCACTCATCCTTAATTTTATTTATTTGCAATCAGGGTTTAATCTCTACCAAGGAAAGCATTGAGAGTAGCGGTAGAAGAAACCTCCCCCCAGGGGGGCTGTCTTCGCCCATGAAATGCCTCCCTGGAGTGTCTTGGAGAAGCTTTGGTTTTCTCATCAGTAAAGTCCCTTATCTGAATTGCTTGCTGGTGTGTATGTGTGGGAAGGGTTGGGAGAATTAAGTGTGAGACAGAATATAAGGCCACTGTGAACTCTAAAGTGATGTTCATGTATTTCTCACACATTATTACTGAACAGGGAGAAAACTCTGCTCACATCTCTGAACTTCAGGAGCCCTCACTTTCTTCACAGCAGGAGTCTCCTTGTACTCCAAGCTATGCTTTTTTGCCTGGAGGTATTTCTGCCATAACTACATTGTATGCATCTGAAAACATCACCTTCTGCAAAACTGTACAGTAAAAATAACAGACTTATGAAAAAATAGGACTGGGAGTAGGCCATTGTAAATGTAGAGAACTCTGTATTCAAAGCCCTAAAAACTCACCAATGAATCCTAACCCTAATGACAATGCTAGCTCAGTTAAGTTCCCTAAGCATTTTCCCTCTGCCTCACGGTCAGAACATCCTTTGCAACCTTAACCATGGGTCTTCGTTCCAAGATAGATCCAGAGTACATTTGATTGTGTTGGAGATAATTTTAGTCACAATTAAAGATCCAATCCAGATGGAGCCTTTCATTAATCCATTGCTTTGTCATAAGGGAGGTTTCCAAAGCTCTTCATCTGCCCTTACAGCCTCCACAGAAGACAGAGTGCAAAGCACAGTGGTTTTGAAAGCCATGAAGAAACTATATTTTCACTAAATTTCAGCTTTTTCCTTTGGATCTTTATCACTAAATGAATCAGCCTCCTATTGATGCTGATGGTAGGGCTCCTCTCTCTTTCTTTTGTCTTCCTTACTGTGTATTCCACATTGTGGGTCCCCAATAAAGAACTGCTGAATAAACTGGGCTATTTCTAACTGGATAAATACCTGTGCATCCAAAGAGGCCATTTGGACTAAGGATGAAGGATAACTCACTGTTCAAGAGGAGAATTAAGAGAGAACTCTTGAGAGCTAAAGCCTCACATACCTTTAGCACAAAGTTGTCCTCAGCCTGGAGCTTCAAGTTCACTACTGCCTTCCGTACCAAAGCCTCAAAGTTTAGGTCCCTCCTTCGGGGGACATCCAGGGAGGGAAAGAGGTCCCCAATCAGGCCCATGAACACAGGCATGTCATCTATCACAATCTTGGGGATGTTGAAGTCTCTCAAGGAGCGCATTAGGACCTGGTCCTCAGGCCGGTCAGGGTCTCCTCGCTTCAGGGATCCTGCCACCACGAGTACAGACTTGATGGCTCGCAGGCCCCAGTCATAATGATCCTGTGAGAAGGTAACACAGGTTATACAAAAATTGCTGTCATTCAGTGTATCTCATGCCCAGACCACAAAGTTACAGATAACCCATCTCATAGCCCTCTGCAGGGGCATGGGAGAGGATTAATGACTTAGAAAAGTCTCCTCCAACTTTGTGTGCATGTGCGCACATGTGTGTGTGTGGTACTGGGGTTTGAACTCAGTGCCTTAGGTTTGCTAGGCAAGTGCTCTACCACTTAAGTCATACTCCAGCCCTTGACTTAGAAAATCCTGATCACAGAATTCTAGTTCCTGGTATTATATTACCTAGTTTTCCAACTATGATGACAATGAGGCAGACAGAACATACAAGGAATTGGGGTCCAGTTGGAATAAACAGAATCATTCTCAAATCCATGTGATTACTCCTTATACATTCAGAGGGTGGAAGGGTTGCCAAGGAAGGAGCACATTAGTTCTCAGAGAAGGTACAGGCTGAGCTTACCTGCTCCACCTTGGAGGCCTTCAAACTCTCTGAGAAAAAGGAGCTAAAAGTATACACTTCCTGAAGCTAACAATGCTTGCTTAGCATGTGCAAGGCCCTGGGTTTAGTCCCCAGCACTTAAAAAACACAGTCAACAATAGTTTCTTATAGTATCAGTCCTAGCAGTATATTCTGGTGATGAATAGATAAAAAAACTGACACCAGGTCAGTGAGGGAAGGTGGTAGAGTGTGGTTCAGAATCCAGAGTCTGAACTCAGACAGAGCTGGGTTCATGTCCCAGCTCTGCTACTTGCTTTGTACCAGATCACTATCTAATTAGAGCTGTGATACTTGCAACAAAGGAAAATTTCTGTGTGCAGTGAAGACAAAGACACCATGGTTGTACCAGAGGTTGTAGATCAGAATCCCCTGGAGGAAAGGCAATAAAGAAGACCTGAGGAGTGGAAACCAGTCAAGCATTATTGAGAGAGGAGAATAGTCAAGGCCAGGGCAAATAGGACATCCATAGGGTTGGGGTGAGAATTTCAAGGAACTCAAACACCAATGCAGACAGAGCACAGCATAGGAGGGAGAGAGCCACAAAGCATAAACTTTTGAGGCAGGCAGGAGACAGAGCACCATATATTCTTTTCTAGGGTGATAAAGACAGGTCTTTATCCTAAGACCAGTGATGAACATTTAAACACAGTTTCTCTAACTAGTACCTAAAGAGCAGATTAGAGGAACTGGAGGAGAGGTACAGAAACTAGTATAGAGGACTTAGCAATAGTTCAATCAAGAGATGTGGGTACATGGAACTAAATTGATAGTAGTGAGTATGAAAAAAATGAAAATTATTTAAGAACTGCCCAAAGAATAAAATCGACAAGAGTTTGTTCATGATTAAGTGTAGGTGAGGAAGAGGAAAGTGTTAGGGATGACTCCCGAGGTCCTAGCATTAGCAAGTGAATGAATGATGGCTTCACACACTGCATCTGGAAAAGGAGGAGAAGCAGGGCTGGTGGGGCCAGCTGGGAAGAACAGTTTTAGATGTGCTGAGTGAAGGTGCTTTTTAAACACTCAGGGAGAGCTGTGGTATAGACCATCAATGATGTGAATTTAAAGCTCAAAGGAGAGGTTTGGGATAGAACTGGGAGTTATTGGCCTGGAAGTCAATGGTGGTAGGAACCTAGAGAGAGGATACAATGAGAAAGGAAGTATGAAGAAAATAAGATTTTCTCTCTCCTGGACAGAATCCACAGGGCTGACAGAGCCCTTGGCAGCAATGGTGATCTAAGCAAAATGATGCCAAAGGATAGGTGAAACACATTGGGAATAGCCCAGGAAGCTTGGTTGGCTATCCTTGCCACCAAGAAATTCCTCATCCAGGGTATAAACTATCTGGCTGCTTGATCACGTTTTGTTAAGGCTCTGGTTCTTGTGTGGGCCTGCCTTTGGTAGAAGCCATACCTAAGGCCAAGCAGAATGAGGACACAGCTGGTTATGTCCAACTCTTTTCCTATCATCTTCCCTGCCTTATGTCCCTTTAGGTAGAGACCTAGTCCCTCCAGGGAGTTTCCTTGACCACTGCAATGTTTCTCACAAGACCCTGGTGTTCACAGGACCTTAAGAAATCTATGTAAAAATAGAATTCTGTGGAATCTTGAAAAATGCTGAGCTAAAAATGAACATGAACTTTTGCTGCCCAAAAGTACTCAGAGCTTTTAATATGCTTATGGGTACAGTGACTCTCCATGAGAAAACCCTAATACATCAGCGCAACACCCTTCCAGAAGTGGGCCTGTGGCATGGTGCTTGGAGACCAGCCTTCCTGGAGATCCTACCTGTTTGGAGAGAAGCTCTTTGCACAGCTGGTAAAGGGTGATAAACTTTCTGGCTAATAACCGGGCCTCGATGAATCCTTCTGCCACCAGCATGATCTCACAGATTAGCTCAAAGTCTGGAACAACCATCGCACAAGGCCTGGGTACAGGGAGACAGAGGCTGAAACAGTTCCCCAGTTACAGAGTTGAAGGGTAGGCATTAGGACAAGAGTCACTGGCCAAGATCACACAGGGAGGCATCTGTGTAATCATTTCATCTCAGACCTCCAATGTCATGATGAGTTGTGTAAGGATAAAGGAAGTACACTCTTATCCCAAAGAGTGCATAATGTTAGGAGATGGGGGCAGAATGGGGCTTATACCTCAGGTCTTGTAACTTGAGACCTATGTGCCTTACACAGGATGGGAATTAATAAAGTAGGTTGTCTAAAATAGATAAGGGACTGAGACTGAGGATCAAGTCTCTAGGTGTTTATAATAAGCAGAGAGTCTCCCTCAATGATGTGTGTCTCCTCCAAATCCCAGACACTGAGGACTTATTTGCATACAAATGTAAATTTCTAATGCTGAGGCCTAAAGTAGGTACCTACAAATCCTATCCTGAGACAATAAAAGAATATAGAAGGAGCTTTTTGCCTATGTATAAAGATTTATTATGATTTTTTTCCCTCGGGTATTTGTAACATTTGATTTTAAAATGATTGCTTTTTCCTTTTTGTGGAGCTGGGGATTGAACCCAGGGCCTTGCACATGCTAGGCAAGTCACACTACCACTGAACTACATCTCCAGCCCTTATTTTTTGAGGCAGGGTCTCACTGTAGCCCACACTGGCCTGGAAACTCTCAATCCCCTTTTCCTCAGCTTCTTGACTGCTGGAATTATAGGCATATACCACCATAACTGACTAAAATGACTTATTTTTTAAATTTTTTCTTTTATTCATATGTGCATACAATGTTTGGGTCATTTCTCCCCCTGTTCCCCCCGCCCCCTGCCTTTCCTCCCACCCCCTCACTCTCCCCCCAACTCCTCGCTACCAGGCAGAAACTATTTTGCCTTATCTCCAATTTTGTTGAAGAGAGAGTATAAACAGTAATAGGAAGGACCAAGGGTTTTTGCTAGTTGAGATAAGGATAGCTATACAGGGAGTTGACTCGCATTGCTTTCCTGTACATGTGTGTTACATTCTAAATTAATTCTTCTCGAACTAATCTTTTCTCTATTTCCTGGTCCCCTTCTCCTATTGGCCTCTGTCACTTTAAAGTTTTTGCATTAGTTTCTCTGCATTGAGGACATCAAATGCTATCTTGTTTTTTTTTGGGGGGGGTTTCTTGCCTATCTTCATACCTCCCTGTGTGCTCTCGCCTCATCATGTGATCAAAGTCCTTGTTGAGTTTGCCCCTGATCTAAAGTCCGCATATGAGGGAGAACATATGACTTTTTGGTCTTCTCGACCTGGCTAACCTCCCTCAGGATGATGTTCTCCAGTTCCATCCATAAAATGACTTATTTTTAAAATTAATCTATTAAGTATGTTCTAGGAAGTAACACTTTTACATTTCTTTAATTGCATTTTCTTTCTCTATACTGATATAAAGTTTTCAAAATCACTTCAATCAAGTACATATTTTTCCTAGAAATATTTTATATTGCATTCAAATTCAAAGGTGCCATTAAATACTTAGATTCTAAAAGTTATTTGGCAACCTGAACCTAAGGTTAATTTGTACCCACTCAGCAGATTGCAATGTAGCCATGAAAAACAATGCTGTAAAAGGAAAACTATTAAATGGCTTAAGAAAACATCAATTAATGAAAGCAAAATGATAAACAATATGGAGCTGGATCCCAGTTTTGGAAAATAAATGCTGACACAGTATTGGAAGGGAAATGCCATGTGGTTACATGGATTATCTCTGGTGATAGGTTTAGGCTGGGAAGAGCAAGGCTCTGGGTTCAAACTCTGATTCAGCCTTTTACTAGTTGGGCTTCTAGCTAACTGTAGTAAAACCAGGGTTACTGCCCAGGGAATCCACCTGTTTTTTCTCTGTACGAGGGGGGAGTTAATACTATCCATATTATAGGATCTTTGTGATGACTAAGTGTAAAGTAAATGTTTGTGTTTATTGCTTGCAAAAATATTTTTCTGCAGGGCATGGTGGCACACACCTGTAATCCTAGTACTTGGAAGACTGAGTCAGGAGGATTGAGAGTTCATGGTCAGCCTGGGCTATACAGTGAGACACTGTCTAAAATAAAACAGAGAACAAAACACTAAAGTAAATGAAATGAAAATATTCTTCTCTTTCCCCCCAGATTTCTTCTATGGATGTATGTTGTGGGTGTTATGAACTGGAGGTTTATGTCTCTCCAAATTCGTTGCTGAGATCTGAATCCAGTGAGATGGTGTTTAGAGGCAAGGCCTTTGGGAGTTGCTCAGTCATGAGCACAGAGCCCTCGTGCATGCACTAGTGCCTTTATAATAAAAAAGGCCAGAGAGCTCACTGCCTGTTTGCTAGCATGGAGGATATAACACGAAGTTGGCCCTCTGAAACTTGGAAGCAGGTCTTCACCAGAGTCCACCTTTGCTGGCACCCTGACCTTGAATGTCAGCCTCCACAACTATGAGAAACAAATGCCTGGTGTTTAGGATACCTAGTCTATGGCCTTTTGTTGTTGCAACTGGAATAGATTAAGACAATTGTTCCCTTTAAACTTCGGGAAAAACATAAGGAATAATTCTTATCTGGGGGATAGCCTACCAGGACCATTGTCGGCTACACTTACTTAATAAATACTTTATGTGAACAAAAGCAAACAATGTAGTACTCCATGTTACAGTTTCGATGCTTGTTAATGTTCCAACACTTCTTGGTTAAAGTGGGACCTGGCTGAATGGGGAGATGCTAGCACTGCTTGTGTGACAGAGGGATTTGCCATGGCTGAGGCAGGTTAAAAGGGAGAGACTAAAGTATACAGGGCCCAGTGGCCTCCAATGGCTCCAAAAGTCTGTGAAAGTGATGATGCCACCTCCCCAGACAGCGTGGTCTCTCTGCCTAAAAAGGAGATAAACAGCTTTGCCATAGCTGCTATTGTCTATCTCTCCCAGGTAAAAGTTCAGTAAGCAGAAAATCAGAAAGCAGGAAGCATCCTTCAGTTTTCTCTTTGTTGGGCCAATGCCACTTCTCTGAAAAGGAAATGTAGATCCCAGCTCCTGCAAGGAAACACACTTGTGTTTTCTTATCAAAATAAAGATTTTAAATCATAGCAATATGCACGGGTGGCAAGGGTGAAATAAAGGAGGTATTCCTACGCATTGCTACTAGGAGTATAATTTGGTACTATGCTTTTTAGAAAGTAATTTGGCAATGTGTATCAAAAGCCTTAAAAATGTTCCCACTCGTTAACTTAGTAATTCCACTTCTGGGAAGCTAGCCAAACAAAATGATCGTGCATACAGAAAAAAAGATTTACATACAAAATGTACATTACAGCATTATGTATGAATTTATTTTTAATTTCAGAAACATTCTTAATATCCATTCATGAGGGACTAGTTAATTATATTGTGGACTATGTGCTTGATAGAAAAATATACAGACATGAAATGAGATTTATTAAAAATATCCAGTAGAAGAAAATATTTATCATAGTCTTGAAGTGAAAAAATAAAGCAATACAAAGCTATATGGCCCACAAATGGAGACTACAAATGCCTCAAACTAAAATATACATATAAAGAACCAAACACAATTGAGTAGGAAATAATTTTACTGGCTATGGCATTATAGGTAGTTTATAAAAATCTACTTTCCTAAATGTTCCAAATCTTCTCTGCTCTATATCATATAGTTTCAGTGGGAAAAACAGAAGAAATTTCTCTTTGAGGGGACCTTGTGTGGGTTAATGCTGACACTTACCTGAAGAGAGCCTTGAGGTTCTCAGGCAGCTCCGTGCGGCCAGCGTAGCCTGGGTTCATGGTAATGAAGATGCCCACAGAAGGATTCAGGCTAATCTCCTCCCCAAGGAAGCTGAACCTCTGCTTCTTATCTCTAATTGCATCCTGGATGCTTTTTACCTGGTGAGCCAATCAGCAAAAAAATGTCTTCGTTGCATTTTAGTGGTGGTGGTAACTCAAGTTTGAAACCATAGTCACACGAAACACAGACAGTTGTCCTGTGGCCCTTTCATTGAAGGACAGGAACCATGACCCAACCCTGGACCCTTTTCTGATGGACACTGAACATGTGTCTAAAAGAAATGTGTGACCACCCATATTCACATTTATAGCACTGTGGCTATAAGGATGGGAGTGAACCGCAAAAGGGTGTTTAGCGCTGACCCTTGGCTCTGTCTGTACGAATAATAGTGCTGGCCACAAGCAGGCACTTTTCTGAGCAATCATTTTTTCTTTTTGTACTGGGGATAGAACACGGAGCTTTGCAAATACCAGGCAAGCATGTTGCCACTGAGCTACATCCCCAGTTCCTGAGCACTTTTTTTATGTATTAACTCACTTGAGTATTACCACAATCCTCGGAGGGGCACTTTAATGTCTTCACCCCATTTCTCTGTGATAAAACATAAGCATGGGCAACAGCATTTGACACCAAGCAAATACACTCTTGGCCACTGCCTGCTGGTGAGAACTCCAATGCCTAGCTCCTGGGCTTGTTCTAAGGATTAAAGTCCATAAAGACCTTGGTGTACAGAAAAGGTTTTAAAACAGCAGCACACATGGAAATTGTTGATGTAACTACAATCACTGCAGCTGTGGTCCTTGAGTCTTAGACCTCTCTGCCTTTCCCCAGACCACATCTGTAGAATGATAACAAGAGCACAGATGGAGGGTGAATGATGAGGCAGTCTATACAAGGAGAGGCAAGAGCTATCATGGCAAAGGTAAGCTGGGGTCACACCCTGAAGGGTCATGAGTGCCTTCCTATGGGGACTGTACTTTTTCTTAAATTGATCTGGAGCCAGATCAATTCAAGCTTCAGTCAAACTTGATCTATGTTTTAGATCATTCTTACTGAGGTGAGAAGAGGGGCAGAAACCCCTCCACTTCTGTTTACACACCTTGTTGCTTTGAAACACATGTGCAAAAATGATCAGCTAACAGAAGGAGAAAGACAGAAGGCGCACACTTGCAGGCTAGCCTTGCTCAGCCAGGTCCCAGAATGTCTCTGGGAATTTCTAGCCTCTCAAGATTCTTGGAAGCAAAATCAGAAAGCTAGGACCAGTACAGGTTTAAAGGAGCCTCCAGCATGTCTGTGAAGTCTCGCTGCTAGAGAGGTCAAGGGTAGCCTAGTTCTGTGGTGATGGGGCTGCAGAGTTGTGTGTGTGCATGGGGTGGGGGGGGAGGTGTAGCTGGACCATATACTACTGGGCAAAGTTGTCTCCAGCTCCTGGGAGGGCAGCATTTGCCAGGACATGTGACAGCTCTGCAATTAATAAAGTTCTAATGACTGAATGCACTTGAGCTCAAAGCAATTAGTGGGAGACCAAAACTTCTTTTTTAGATACAGAATAGCAATACCATCCTGGCAGAGGCAATCTTCAGCACCCAGTATGTCAGCCACCCAGACCAAGCTCTACTGCTTTGTGTGGAGCTCACAGCCCTGCCCATCTATGCCCTGGAGCCCCTTGTTGCCCTCATCACTCTGCAAGTGACAAGGTTGGGAAACGCTGGTTCCCTCCTTCGTCCCCAGTCCTAGCATCTATAAAATACACAGAGCACTCTCCTGGCTAGGGAGTGGGGAGATAAGCTTAATTAGCGTTTACAAGTAGCTCTTCTACCTTTGGGCGAAGGTTAAGGCTAGAGCCCAGGACCCTTTCTGCTGTTTGTTCTGACTCAGCGTTCTCTCCCAAAACACTGAAGCCCAGAAACCTCATGCTCAGCAAGAATTTATGATGCACTTTTAGATAGGAGGCATCTGCGCTTTTGTGTAAAATTCTGAAGGGGGGCCCTTGAGGGAGAGCGCTAAATAGACTGGAGGATGTGGGCAAGGCTGGAGCACTGATGCTCACAGACATTTCCATTTGCCTGCTTCATACTGGTCAGGAGACCATTTGCAGGGACTTTTCCACTTTGCTTTAGAAGCAACTGAGGTCTTTGGGACAAGCATCCAGAATGCCTCAATAAAGTCTAGGCTCTGGAAAAGTCTAGATTTCAGGATGCCAGAGGGGAAAAGCAGGTGGACTGGAAAGGTAAGGATTAAATGAAAGTCCAGCCAGGAGGAGGTAAGGCACAGACAGGTAGCTAAGGCTGCCAGGTTCTCTATGCACTTATGGGCATCTGTAGCTCCACTAAAGAGCACAAAGCCATAGGGAATAATAATTTTTAAAAAGACTGACTTTTTTTTTTTGACTCTTGAAAGTTTCCAAGTGCTGTTCTGAATATTATACATAAATTATTCCACTCAACTCTTTCAACAGCTGTAGGAGATGAGTGGTTTTAGAGAGTCATTTTATAGAGGTAGAAACTGAGATGGAAGGCAGTTTATGTAAGATGCTAGCATTCAGGGAGGCTAGGGAAGGAATATGTGGGAACTCTACTATTTTTGCAAATTTTCTATAAATCTGAAATTGGCTTAAAAATGAAGTTTGGCTAACAACCAACAGTTGTAAGTGGGGCAACCCAAGTCTAAAACCAGGCAAGCTGGTCCCAAAGCATATGTTTTCAGCCATTCCCTCTACCCCCTTATACCAGAAGCCAGTCACATACTGGGCTCTTATCATATACAGTGTGCATCACTTAATGACAGGGATCTGTTCTGAAAACAGTGTAGTTAGGCAATTTCATTGTTGTGCAAACACCATAAAGTACTTAAGCCATGATTAAGGCATGATATCACTTAGGTGATAGAATCTTATGGGACCACTTCATATACACGGTCTGTCATAGACTAAAATGTTATTATGTAGAACAGGACTGCATATACATTTTCAGAGTAATTTGTTTTGCTCTGAAAATAATCATGTGTATTGTAATTTAGAGGCATATTTTCCACAAGGCAAGAAAAGTTGTTTTTACTGCTCATTAAAAAAATTAAAAGCTATGCAGACACCAGTATTCTCACCTGGAAATGATTTTGCACCCCATCCCATAGGAATATCTGACACCATATGGAGATACTTGTGTTGTCATAATTGTGAGGAGGAATGCTACTGGCATCCAGTTGTTAGACATCCTACAGTGCACAGGGAAGAACTCTGCAATAAATAGCTGTCATCCTAAAATGTCAACAGTGCTGATGTTGACAAACCCTGACCAAGTTGGAAACTGAGGCCAAGAAGATATCTGTGACTTGTCTACCATCCCACAGCATGGGTCCTGAGGTCCAAATTACCACGCAAATTCTTTTCTGTTTGTTCTTTGCATAGCTGGGGATGAAACAAGGGCCTTAAGCATGTTAGGTAAGTGTTCTATCACTGATCTATACCTCCAATCCCCCATGCAATTTATTTTTTATGGCACTGGGGTTTGAACTCAGTGCTTCATGCTTGCTAGGCAGGTGCTTTTACCACCTGAGCCACACTTCAAGCCCTTTTTGCTTTATTTATTTTTCAGATAGGATCTCTCATTTCTACACAAGGCTGGCCTATGCCCACGATCCTTCTACCTATTGCTCTTGCATAGCTGGGATTACAAATGTTAACCACCATGACTGGCCCCCATAAAAATTTTAATTTCACCCCAGATTCACCAAATCAGAAATTCTGAAGGTGTGAGTCCACCAGAGGGTATCTTAATAAGCCCCCCAGGTGATTCTGATCCATGTAAAGTTTGAGAAGCACTGTGGTCCAGTTAATTCTCACACATCTACCCAGATCTATCTCTGCCCTGGTGCCCCATTCATAACTGTATACTGAACTCCTTTTCTTCTGGATGAGCCTGAGTCCTTCACTTCCTTTTGCCCTTCCTGGCCTGAGGCCTTACTCCTGCAGCTGACTCTTAGGACCAACTGCGCTCAATCTTGGGAGTCTTGATGTCAACCCCAATTCTACAGACCTCAAGGAGTTTTCCTTATTTGACATCTCCCTCTCGGCTCTGGTCCTCAGAATTTGCTGAATGTGTGAACAATGTGGAAAGTTGTGTTTTCTTTTTTTTTTAATACCAATGTCCAGGCCCTATTCCAGACCAATTACATGAGAATGTTTTGGGGGTAGACACGCCATTCCTCATTTCCAGAATCACTCAGGCAATTCCAGTGTCAGCCAGGTTTGAGAGGTTACTGTGTTCCAGCAGCACGGCCTTGAGTTTACTGTGTGTGAGGTTGACAGGAAAGCTTGCTCCAAGAAGATCTGTCTTGTGAGGCCAGCCCTGGTTTCACATTGTCAGTGCTGTTATCCACCTTGTCTTACCATTAGGCACCATTTCCCACTTGAAAATGCTCTTTCCTCTCCTACACTGGAAGCTGGTGATCTCAGAAGTTTCTGTCATGGTTTCCTCCCTCTCAGGCTACAGCCTTGCATCTGGCACACCCAATGGAGGGCTTAAGTCTTCCTATCTCTTTGCAAGTGATATAATTTAAGGAGGTCTTGGGTGAGCCCTACTCCACGTGATTCTCTCAGTTTTTCTTCACACCCCTCCACCTTGCCCCTGCCATTCTAGGGAAGTAGCTTATTCTGTGTTTGTTCTTTCTTCAAGCGTTTGCCCCAAATGCCATGTGTTATTAAAATCCTGTCTAGCTCACTCCATGCTTCCCTCTGCAACAGCAGATTGGAGTCTGCTCACTTCAGGAAGTGCAACCCACTCACCACTTTGTAAATTCTTTCATTTTTCTGCACTTTTAGCATTGGCCTTAATCTCCTCTATAAAGGGTGCTACTTAGGACATTCCCTTGGCACAGAGATTGGAGCCTTTGCTCATTGTTTGGTGCCTGGAGTATTTCAAACCCTGCTAGGTGGGCTCCCTTGCTAATGGATCGTATGCTTCTAGCTGCTTTCTGCTTAAGTCCCAGTCCACTGTTAGCACTTTTACCATAGGGGAGAGAAGGAGATGGCAGGGACACCTGACCACAGAGTATGGAGGGGGACAGGGGATGGAGTTCAGGGTCATGGGGTGTGCCCTGC